AAGCAGTCGATTGACAATAGCCAAATCCGAGAACTAATCATTCTGATTGGTCGAGAGCCTTATAACCGATAACTCTTCTAGCTCCTTCGAGTCGTGCTTTTAAACCAAATCGAGAGCGTTCCTTAACAAATTGGTACGTATCTCCTGGAGATTCTCCACGGCCGCTTCCCCAGGGCATCGGGTGACAGCTGGGCACCACATCCTTAACTCGGGCAGGAGGTTCCTCTCCTGCCCTTAACCGTATCAAAACTTCCTCCGCCTGCTAGTCGTGCTTTTAAACCAAATCGAGAGCGTTCCTTAACAAATTGGTACGTATCTCCTGGAGATTCTCCACGGCCGCTTCCCCAGGGCATCGGGTGACAGCTGGGCACCACATCCTTAACTCGGGCAGGAGGTTCCTCTCCTGCCCTTAACCGTATCAAAACTACCTCCGCTCGCTCTACAGCCCTTTGCCCATCTCCAGCGGGGCGCCGCGTATCTCACCCGGGCTTCTGCCGGTCCGTGGAGACGTCTCCGTCGGGTACTCTTCTCTGCCGGGCAACTAGGTACGTCGAGACTATCTCCCCACGGCAGATTCGAGCACCTTGACCTCAACTAAACAATAACGAAATCTTACGAGAGCCTTGACATAACTATACGAATCAACCCGAGAGCGTAGCTTCTGAGCAGGGTGGCGACCCGAAGGGAACCAGAAATCGAGAACCGAATCAACCCGAGAGCGTAGTTTCTGAGCAGGGTGACGACCCGAAGGGAACCAGAAATCGAGAACGTTATCTGTACCGGTAACCGGAGCCGCCTTGGGACCGTGATTCGAAAAATCACGTCACAATATATATGTATATAAATATATAGTTACGCCCTGAGGCCTAATGATTTAATTATGACAATGAATATATTTTTGGCTAAGGCGATCGTTGCTCCTGTAAACAGACTGATCGAAAGGGGGTTGAAAATCCGCCCCTCGTGATCGCAGTAGGGGAATGAAATGGCAGTGAGAAACCACCCGTAAAATCCGAAGGGGAATTTAACTCTAAGTCCGACGGCGTAGAGATGACTCTGGGATGTGATTATGCTAATGAAGTTATTCTATTGTAACGCTGTTTACAACGATGCGCACATTAAAGCTATATACATATAAAGTCTAGAAAAGAATGGCGCCAATGAATGATCCTTAATAATTTTTATTCCGCGTAAAACAAGCAATTTGTATTATTGAAAATTAAAAAAAAAAATTTATTGAATAATCGAGAATTTCATAACAGGATACACAAAAATCAAGATGATTAATGAATAATTGATAAATATGATTTTTTTTCAATATAACTGCAATGAGATTACATATAATAATTTTTTTTATTATACAGCCTCGTACCTTCTTTTGGTATCTTTGTTCCTATTTTTCTAAGTCTTTCATTCTACGAACGATACCATGAAAGTGCATTAACAAACATAATTAATGTACTCGCAAAGTGTTTTCCTTTAGGGAATTATAATAACCGCGGACGTTTAGCAGACAAAGAAGTTTTCCTCGTTGGCGTCGCTTATTCTGCCGTCATGAGAAAAAAAAATGTCAGGTCGCCATTAACCAGCTGGGACAAAATGACGGTGAAAAAGATCGGTAAGAAAGTAAGATGTCGGCTATTAATACGGAAATTAATCTACCCCGACACCGGTGCCGCGGAGCGACTCTTCGTCAATTTGACATCCGGTTACGCCCACCGTTGACGTTCTACTACTCCGTGCTCTTCCTTCCTTGACGCAGTTCAAAAGCTTTACGCTTGGAATATGAAGAGATGCTCAAGAGTGCAGGAAAAAAAATCTTGTTTGGCGGACAAAATAAACTGACAGATTTCTTCTGGTTGGTATAAGAACAATATCCATGTGTGTGCCTATAAATATATATACATATATTAGACTTATCAAGATGTGTTTGATTAAAAATATAGAATTTTATCAATATTAAAAATCAACTACGCGTTTAGCATTTTTAAAAATAACAAATATCAATGTTTTTTTTTGCTAAACTACCGAAATTCAAGGAAACTGCACTAAGGGAAAAACCCTCTTTCACGGCTGGTTTACCCCTCAAGTCTCACTGGTATGACTTAACTCGTATTTAACTTTCAAATATATTTTATGCCTCTTACATTTTAATATTCCCCACCGTTTCGCCATATCCAACGTTGGTTCCTCTCGCCCCATAATTCTCGCCTGTACGACGCGATTCTCGCGAAAAGTATGATTTTTACGTGAAACTGCCATAATCTGTAAATTTCCAGAAAATTAGTATGAGATTTTTAAAAATTTCAGTATGACCAAAACATATATTACTCCGATACTGAATGTAGATATAATTATATATATTGTGCGATAAAAAAAGAAATAAAAATCACTGAGTATAATATACATATATATATATGTATATACGTGTGAATTCATGCTCGAATAGGCGTCGCATTTATGAGTGCAATGAAGCGCGAATAACGGGCGGACAGGATTATTTGTAGGAGTTTCCATGAAATCTGACATTTCTATAATTCTTTTGTGGATATGGGGTGGGTGGAGTGAATTCTGGCTGCTCGAAAAGAGGAAGAGAGAAAGAGACGAATAAGCACGTTATATGACAGGAGGAGACACAACCAGTCGACGCACCCCGACATTTCCCCGTATTTAAGGAGCAGAAGAGGATTCACTTCGCGACGGAAATACGTAATGCGAAACAGAGAAGTGTCGCTACCGTGTACGTTTTGGAATTCGCAATGGTCACCCTGGAAATCGTATCCTCGAATCTTCCAACAAATGTATAAATATATGTAAACACAAAGAAAAATAGTAATTAAAATTTTTTGTCTTACCTTGAAATGGTCCACACATGGAAGTGTGACGAAGTAACACAATTTTGTCAAGTTTAATAAAATGTTGACATTCGAAAATATAATTGGCTTTTTCTCCCCTATTTCCTAGGACGTCAGTCGGTGAACTTCAAAGAGTGTAGCAAACGCATTCGGATGCACAGGGCGCTTCAGCCCCTTACAACTTCAAGACGGACTTTACCAGATAATCTGGAGACTTCTCTCTCTTTCTTTCACTGCATCTTCACATACGATACTCCCTCGTGGTACTTCGTAAGGGGAGCAAGGGGGACAACAAGGAGAGCCCACGTAGCCGACATAAGGGGAGATAGCATTCTTCTAATTTGTCGGCTTTGCTTTGTCGGCTAATCAATTGCATTCGTAATTACCATACGTGGTGCATTTTTTAATGATACTGTACCCATAAATACCTTAAACGTACGTGTACGTGTTCGGGGTACACGTGAGTCTGTCTGTAGTAAAAATCCATTTTTTTGTTATTCCTGATAAAAAAATGAATATTTGAGTGATATCATTCATTGATTATTTACGTGAATTAGATACATTGAGCTTTGTAATTATTTTACGAGCATAACCTGCGAGATATAGTTCGCTTAATTTGTACATACCGGATTTTCAATGTCTTTGTCGGCATCCTGATTTACCGTTCTTGATTAACATGCCGTTTTACACAGCCGTCGTGGAATTTCGGATGGGCCTTTTGACGGAAGCCTTTGCGGCGGAAGTACGACACGCTTCGTCGCTTTCCTTTCGATCTTCTGAAACTTTGAGGGTTAGCTTTTAGTTGTGCTTCTACGCGAGACTGTATATTTAACCTGTAATCAGGTCTGTCATTCGAAAATTACATCTGAAGTTTGCGGTGTCTTCCGACAGATGGGAGTCGAATCGCTCCTGTTAAACTGCCGGCGAGTTTAAATCAAGTTAATTGTCCTCGACTTATACCGACGCTATCTTTGGACGAGTTTACAACGTTATACATACGCGTAAACGAAATGGGACGTATTTTCAATTGTGCGTGAAATGAAGGCGACGATGCGTGCCCTAAGAAATGCCTATGCTTGCGTGCGTGAGTGAGGAACGACTTTGGAAGTGAAAGAAAGAAAGACATAGGAAAGGAAGATAAGGAGACACGTTGAGAAACAAGAAAGAATCTACGAGATGTTTTGAGGTTAGAGTTATGTACTGACGTATAGCAACCAGAAGGGACTAAAGGATTTGGTACGATGGACTTTGCTCTTTTAAAGAGGAAATAAAATAAGGCAAGAATAATCTCGTAATTAACCATATCATTTACTTGTTTTCGTTTACCTTAAGTCTTTCATATGGTGAGTCAACGGAAACAAATTAGTCGAATTTAAAGGGATACGAAGTTACGACTTTTGAGAAAAATAATACAAAAGCTGTTTCCCCCTTTATTTTGTAAAATGATAAATTAGAAACACGTATATAACCGTTGTTGAAAATTATCGTAGAAAGGGGTTCTTAACTTTAACCAAGTATACAATTTTCGTAATTTCACACTGTGTACTAGGCATAAAGGGAATTCTAGTAATTTGTTTATCCATAGTAAGAATCGCGTGCTGACAACATGTGATACGTGAAAGTCTGCTACGATACTATCCCACATTTATAATTCCTGTGAAAATCACCGTGACTACTAACCGACAGTATTATACCCCTTACTACCATTGGCATATACACGTCGATTTCCACTTGAGTAATTTATTCCAACGACTCAGCGAACCTCGGTTAATCCATTACGTGGTAACAAACGTCCATCTTTGTTTCATACGCCCACCAATTTGCCAACCATCAATTTTGCTAGAACGCGCGCGTACTCCTCTCCCTACTGTTCACATTTCTCACCAGTAAAGCTTACTCATGCGCGTGTTTGACACGCACATAAGCATTACGCACAAAGCGTTGTTTTATATAAAAACAAAAAAATTACTACTAAGTCAGGTCTTAAAGAGCACAAAGTGTGTACCCCTCAAAGATACCAACGACTACCCAGGATTCCTTACAACGTGTTAAATACCCCTTTTACTTTTTTTTTTCCTTTTCTTGACTTTCATGAGAATCAAGAGAGCTCGTGAAGTGTCATCAATTAGTCGCTCTTAAAATGTTCAGAATCTTCTCGACCACCCGTACTCGAGTAATTCTCAAAGCACCGTGGTCCAACGTTGCCATCGCGTAAGGGGGTGCACCGATCCGGTAAAGAGGGTGGCCGGTATCCCTGGTACCGACGAACGTAAAACGTCACTCTCCTCGGCCCATAAAACAGGAGGCAATTAAAAGGGATGCCTTTTCGAAAAATAAAAAAAATAAGCGGCCCGGTTAAAAGTGTCGAGGGTTTCCCGTTCACACGTGCGTAACCGAGCCGCGGACGCGCAACGACGCCTTTTACATGAAAAACAAAGAATCCTCAGAGGGGTGAAGCCGAAGTGCGAGAAATAGAGAAGAGCAAGAGCAAATGGAAAAAAGAGAAGAGAGAGAGAGAGAGAAAACAGAGTGACTGAGAGTTCAAGAGAGACGGATAGTAGATAAAGGAATGACGCGAGGACTCGAAACTCTGACAAGATTTAAAGCCGTCTGAGCATCCGTGCATCGGGACGCCGACGTCCACGCTTTGCTGGACGACTCCAAGTGGGCGTTTATCCTGGGGATGGGGTTACGACACCGGACGCGAAATGGCCTGTCTAATTTGTTAGCAACTCCTCGCGGGTTCGCTACACTAACCTCCATTAGGATGGCCCTTGCGCTTTTGCTTCGAAGACCAAAAAGTCCCTCACCTGATTCAGACCAATATGACGTGGCGGTTGAGTATCTTGAAAAATTGTCTTTTCCTGTGCTATAAAAAAAAACATTGTAAAAAATAAAAATTTTTTTTTAGGTTACTAATGGTCGCAGACGATAACTCTCTAGGAACAAGGATATAAAGTATCCATAGTACTTGAAGAGTGGTTTATACCAATTCCAAAAATGAGCAGGGAGGACCAGTGGCTTTTACAACGTGTTAAGAAGAGTCTACGTAGAAGAAAGAAAAGGAGGACCAAGAGTTTTCCTCTCCGAGCACGAAGAGGGTGTATCTTGAGTTTCGCGTGTAAATATAGCGGCGCGGTATTTCAAAGAGACACTTTGTATCGGTAAGGCAAGCACAGTACCAGCCATAAGATCAGGGGTCTATGGAGTGTCGTTAAAAAGCTCGCCACGATACACCGGTTTCTACGTTTACGATCCTCACCGGTCTTCCACGTCTCATAAAGCCCCGAAATGCTACAAGATTTTTGACCACGTTTCCTAAGTAGTGCTCTGGACGTGACCTCTGTCCTGGAACAGGATGATGGCTCATTTCCAAGGAGGCGACAATATATTATGTATATACATATATATATAGACATTATTCCTTATATTCCACGACTGTTCTATTACGTTAACAATCTATATATTTTTTTTTCCAGCATCCAAAATGGTACTGTCACTATCAAACCCACTGCCAAATCTCCGCCCTGTCGTTTGACAGTTACCAGCGGAAATAGTACAAGGAATTCAATCATATAAGGAATATATATATAATATTCTAGCTGATATGGGAAAATTCGCAGAAAAAATAAGAAGAAAATACAAGGAGAATAATATGATAAGGTTAAAAGGTATTGAATATCTTTCTTATTTCTTTAATATATTTATAGTCTGTCATCGCGGCTTCTCTTTGTCTTGCAGAAGCTCGCTAGACATCTCAATTGCCCAATGAAGATTCCTGGCTTCGCGCCCCGTGGCTACTGTACGTTTAACTTTAGCCTAACTAAAAGGGCCCAATTAAAGCGGATCGTTAACGAGCGTCAAAATATCATTAGCAAGGCTGATTAGTCACTGAACGAACCTAATTACCCAATGAGGATCCTCGCATTATTGATTAATACTCCAGCCAATTAAATCCTTAAATACTAAATTCGTTCTACCGTCAAATTATAATAACTGTCAACTTACGTAATACCACTATTACTATACACATAGAATATAGAAGTTTCTTATAATCCATAGCGTCTTGTCGATAAATAATACATAATTAACAATTCGTCAATTAACGGTACTAAAAATGCTTTTATTATACTTGTTTACGACTTTCACACGATTTGCCTCAATATTCACGTGTATATCTATATATACTGAAATTTAACTGAACGTATCTTCGCGTGGTTTCACCCATTGTCAATTCTCATGTCGTGTCAGAATTAATCGGAATGCCTTTGCAGCGCATGAGAAATTGGACTTTCTGTTACGGACTCTTAAGGAGAGTCGTGAATACCTTAAAGTTTGATTAAGGATGAAGTAGGAAAAAAATAATTTTACAATTTTATTACATGGGCATGAGGATCGTTAGTATCTTGAGAACAGGAAGAATCCAAATTGCTTTCTATTTTTTGTACAACTCAAATTACACGTATTGGACGGGTGGGGGGGTGGATGTAAGAAAGTAATTATGACATGCTGCTGACAGAAGTACTAGCGTTAACGAGGCTTTGTTACTCGTCAGTTACCTTTTTTTTTTCTTTTAAAAAATTTAACCAAGGTGGTCTGTGCACCGATGTATTTTTAACGTTTAATGAGTCGCGAAAACGAGGCTCCTATGGGCAACGTGTTTCCCATTATCTTGCCACTCGCTATTATCCTCGTTCTCCAACAGGAAATCATGATGTCCCTGACAACATAGGAACGATCGCAAGCTAAATGCTAAATGAGTCCTGGTTCATTTTACGGTAGTCTAATCTGTATTTAATAAGGGGGTCTGTTTTGTTTAGTGCATTCATATATGAAGTGCATACGTCACATGGAAGCTGGCAAATACTTAGTCTGGTATTAGGCACTATACAATGCTAATAGATATACATCTATATCTTGTATATCGATAAAGCGAATGGATTCGAATTTGTATATTTTTAAGTAAAAAAAAATTATTTATTAAATAATGAGGAGTTAATTGTATAATTGGGGAAAAATATTTTTAAATATATTATTAATGGGTGGGTAATCGATACTTGGTTACTGTACTGTGTATAGTTGCGATTCCCCTTTTTGTCCCTGGGGAATAAATCCCGGATGGTCTGCCAGAATGGGTACCCAAGTGTTTTGCGTGGTGAATCAGGAATCGCATCAGAGAAAAGTGGCGCGAGTCCCTAGCGATTCTATTGTGCCTAATTGCGGCCGAGCGAGCATCGACAATTGCGAGCTGGCAACGCTTGCTTGACGAGCCAGGGAACCAAGATGGCGCAGAGCGTGATGGGTGGTACCAGGTGACGTCATTGGTTCGCACGTAGCCAATGGAAGTGACGGGTGCGTTAGGGAGGTCACGCCTCTTCCGGAACAAGTAAGGGAGTCCTGATTTAAAAGCTCGAACAGTTCGCCGTGGACTCGTGCGGGGTACGGACGATTATTTTATTCCGTTCTGAGTAATGATTTCTTGTTGGACATTATCATTGTTGGTATTGTGTATCGTCAGACCGTGACTATTGGTGTCGTAAAGTTTTCTGGGTACTTTATGAATTTTGTGATTTATGAAATATGTTTTTTAAAAGATACTGCATTTAAATTTTGTGGACCATATGTGGATTGTGTTTTTCAGATTTTCTATTTTTTTTTACGAATAAACTGTTTATTCCGAGAACTCAATGATTTTTTACGTGGGCGAAGAGAGAGCAGGATGTTGACTCACGGCTATTATTACGTGGATTTGGGTATAGGAGTCTAGAACGACCGGAGCATAAATTTCGTCAGGAGAGATTAAATGTGATTTCGAGAAAGTTTGAAAAATTATGAAATTTTCATGTGGATATGGATATTTTGAAAATTTACATTTAACACGTGACCGTGAAGTTGAATGATTGGTGGTTGTGAAATGTGATAAGTACCAGAAATACAATAGAAAGTGTAAGAATACTTGTTTTCGTGCTCAAGAAATACAATCGAAATTGAACGAGCTCGACGATTGTCTAAAAAAAAATAAAGCATGAGCAAAGAAAAAAAATAAATGTTACAAATTACACCAAATCCAATCGGCGAATATATGAAAAGTTAAAGAAAAACAAATGGATTCACCGGTGGAAGAAACTGAACTGGACGTGGGTTCCGCAAGCGACGAGATCGAATCCGTCGAGTCGCGAATAAGACCTGCTCCAAAGCCATTCACCATAGAAAGTCTCATAGGAAACCGTGGACAGACCGGAAGTGCTTCGCGTAATGCACGCGAAGACGAAAGAAGATTCGGAAGCAACGAAGATCTGGACCGCGAGAAAGAACTTCTGTATCAACAACACTGCCTTGCGACGGCTACCAGTGCGTTGCCAGGTTAGTAGGATTAAAAAAAAAAATTCCATATAATAATACCAGACAAGCTCAAAAAAATATTCCCCAAAAATATCTTAACCTAAATTTCCCCAACAATTTTTTTTTCAGGTTTTGGAATGCCCCTGGGTCTTTACAGTGCGTGGTTACCAATGCGAATGTACGGCGGAAGTGCGACCGGAAGTGCAATCTTACCGCCACACTTGTCAGCAAGTTTTCCCTCTCACCAGAATCATCAAAATCAATTATCAAGCTTGAACCTAAACCTCAATCATCTCCAAGGCTCAGCCTATCCTGGTCAACACAGTAATCAACCAGGAACTAACCTAACAGACAGCGAGGATGACAGAAGTCTATCACCGGTATCACCAGTTCATGATTTGTCAAAGTCCCAACACGGTAAGTCCCAAAAATCTAAAAATAAATACCACTAATTAATAACCACTGATTATATCGTTTCATCGATAACTCCTCAGTAATTATTAACCAAACGTCAAAATGATATTCCACAATAAGTAAGGAATTGGAATTGGCCCCTAGACGCTTCCTTCTGGTAATTTCAATCGATTGTAATTAAAATGCTATTATGGCTTGGCGCCTAAGTATCCGGGGCGTAAGTCTTCGTCGCAACGAATTCACGACCGCCCACTGTATGCGTCGTTCATTCGAATTACGTCTAATTAATATACACGGTACTCGGTTGCACACGGTTAATTTTCATATAGCCTGTCATTATATTGTCGAGGCGTTTTTAACAGGCATGAAACATAATATACAGGTATAAGGATCCATATAGGATATATGCCTGAATGCATTATATATTATGATGTCTCATTTGACACCATATTGCGTGAGAGCATTTCACGTCGTTTCTCGTTTCGTGCTCAGCATCCTGCATTCTCCTAACTGATTCGACAGACCCATTTAGGATACATGGCTGGCATTATGCTTTGTTCACACGTCGCCGAACGATGATGTACCGATCGTTCGTGACCTCGTGATTGCAGCCACCTTAGTAGACATCTTGAACCTATCCGGGCTCTTCTTTGGCACTGATCTTTGTTTGTTATATTGATATTTTTATTTACTTATTTTCAATGTTCATTCAGTCTTACTAATGTTCCAAAATTTTTGGTCTAATTTTTTATAAGATTTCTCCAGGGTTGTTATATACAAAAATTTCCAATGTTTGAGGAAGTAATTGATTTTTCATTGGGTCTATGCTAATTATTTATAGGCAAAATTGATTGGTTCGTTTAATTGGATGGATTGGACTGGATTTACAGTTCAATTTATTCTGACAGATATTAATTAGTGGACAGACTGTTTAACGGGCTTGTTATATATTATTTAGAGTTTGTTGATTTTTTTTTAAAAAATTAGACTTCCGCCTTGATTATCGCCATATTGGAATCGCGGTGCGACGCGCGGTGGCCGAAATTCTGAACAAGCCGTTGCGTGCGACAGGACTCGAGACAGTAAAAAATGAAAGAGTCGAATAAAAAGTCGAATAAATGGCGGATGAATGAGAATAAGAAAGAAGCAGAAGGTGGCAGACGTCTTTTGAATGCTGAACGTGATGCCGTTTAATGTTTGCAATGACATCGTGTCCGTCGATGAGGAACAGTAGATGCATATTCTGCGGTAGACGCCAATTGTGATTCGAATAAACAATGTATTGGCACCAATCACAGAGTTCTGCGATCGTTTGACATTTCACATTGCTAAATAATGGCTTCTTGTAGTAGCAGAGCAGTATGGTGACGCTTTCGCAAGGTCCATCTTCTTGTAGAACAGTGAAAATCCATAAGGTAAAAAATGTGATCTGCAAAAACGTAACAAATTTTTGTATAAATAGTCAAAATAATATTTCTCATATACTACCATAACAAATGTACAATTTAATACCATATACAAGGCATCAAACTTCATATATATATTTGCCTAATGTATGCTTCGATCTTTGATATCGCGAGGAAAGTCAAAAATAATTGTACTTGCGAAATTCTATTTTTAATCTCATATACCAGAATTAATAGGAATCGAATCCTTCATGGATAACTAATGCAAAACCTGTCTGTATAGAGAAACGTCAGACCATAAGCGATGCTACTGTATTTTAATTGCTTGCCGGTCAAGTGGCTCCCATGACTAAAGATACGCCCTGGGAATTCATAAAGACCCCTAGGTTTTCGAATTTCGGAATGCGGGCTTCGTGCGAGTTTCTGATTCTTCGTTAAATCCACCATAGAATGCCCAATGACATCCAGTAGCACTTTTTTCCTCATAAACATCGAAGTCACCAACTGAAAAAGTGACAACATACAATTACCATAGAACATTTACGAACACTGATTGGATTTTAATTAATCAATTAATAATTAACTTGCTATCTTGAATCGTCGACTTAAATCCAGCTTACAAATTTGATAGTGTTCTCAGAAATAATAATTTGCACAGTTCCAAGAGAAATCCAGTATAACTCAGGTACGAAGTGCGACGGTGCACCAGGCTCCTTGGTCTGAAACAAGAAAAACAAGAACAGTAAGGAGGGATTCGAGTCTGTATAGAGTAAAAGAGCAAAGCTGGATGAAGAAGAAGAGACGTGAAGAAGAATCAGAAAAAGAAGCTAAGAAGGGACTATAAAGCAACAGTACTCGAAACTTGTAGCTGCGATCACGTATTTCTGAGGCGACGGAGTGAATGGACGATCGTGATGTCCACAACCGACCACTTATTGATGTCTTGCCGACCGCGCGATTTTGTATGCAGCACGAAAATCATTCTTAGAATCTATCAGTCATTTATGATATACCATGCGCTAACTACTTGATACGAAACAGCTTAGCGCTAACTGACCAAACTCTCTTCTTGGAGATAATCGTTCCTTTATCGATCACCTCGTAATGAGTATCGACGAGTTACCTGGTGGACTTGTTAATTACCGTGCCTATATTGATGAAGTAATTACACTTTGTACGTAGATGGATTCTTACAATATATATATACACTGTATTCCAGTAGGGTGTGAATCATTAGAAAAAAACTAGATCAAGAAAACAAGAACCGAAATTTCTCACTTATAACATAGATGCCGAATGATTATGTAAGAGGCGGGACAATGGAATCGTTGGATTTGGAGACTCTTGTGTGTATGCAATGAAAACTGAAAAATGTCCTGTTTTTATGGAAATTCAAGAGGCAGTTTGCGAACTGTGTTTTCCTCCACCCAAGTAATTTTGAAAGCCAGCGCTTTTTTTTTTACCCCAACTCAGTGACCCTAGTTCCTTGCACTTTTTCCAGCTCGTGTGTTTTATTCATTGAACCTGGACCCTGTGATTTCTACACGATATGGGAGGATCATTATATACACATAGTTTGGTATAGTCACCCTAAAAGAAAGACTCTTCTTTCTACACCGATCGATAGTTCATGAATTTTGTAGATTTATTTTTTGTCAGTGACAGGTTAAATTCTAGTTAACTCGCAGTCTTTGAATGGAGGTGCGCTTGGCGGTAAATTCAAAATATTTCGCGGTACTGCGAATCAATCCTGAATATATGCGGTCGACAAGTAATTTGCACGGGATCATTCCCAGGATTACAATCATACTGTTACACGCTCTAGTAACTCAAGGAATTGTCCTGACCGCAAATAAAATTGCATAAGAGGATATAACGACAAAAAAGACAAAAGACGTCATGAAAGTCTCCATAGAGTTCGCAGTCCGTGAAATCTCTTTTATTATAGCTTGTAGCTAAAAAGACGTGGGCTCAGATAGAAGGTTTATGTCTTCGCATAAATCTTTTACGCGCGGTTATTTGTACACTTATGGCGATACACGGCAAAGAATTAAGTAGAAAATCTGTTAATGCTTACTGACTTAGAAAACCGAGTGACTTCCTATGGTTGGCTATTATAAACGAATTATACGGTCTGTCATTATCCGTTATGGCCTTGAATGTCTGATTAAGGGTCGCATAGAGGTACAATTATAAGATCCGGACAATTGCAGCTAAATTAGGCGAAGTGTTGATCGCGTATGAAATATTTAAATGAAAATTCCGTGCACAAAAGTATTATCGCAGACGGTTTAATCGATACCTAACAAGTCATTGGTATTCGATATGATCGATATAACGTTTTAAAATATTTTTCTTATTCGTTTCATGTCATTCTATTGATTTATATAATCGATACTTCATAAGCGTATTAAAGTGCTATCTGGATTTTCAAATGTCATATGCATTCAGTTGTATCGATCATGTCCTGGACTCAGGTTAAACTCTATTCGCATTCTGGTCTTTACGGCGCATAGATAGGGACTGGCCATTGCACACAGCGAGTCTTTGTAAAATCGAATTCATTGAATTAATAAGAAGCTAAGGAGAAAGCAGTCTTTACAACCAGTCTTTATAAACCCAGGGTATCGCTGCACGGGAAGTACTTGTAATGTCACAGCGACTGACTTTAGATTCCCAATTTTCAAATCAATATCAAAGACTGCTGTTACCATTCCCAATATACTATGTCTTTCAAATCGTGTCTTAGCTTACTATTAGCCAAGGTACTGTCATTAAGTGATGATTAATTAACGATGAGTTTCATTTCTGTCTTCAGGTTCCGAAAGCGGTCGTGTCTCAGCCGAGAGTGAAGACGAGGGTGGCGGAAACGAAGGTGGTCAGAACACAGCCAGTTCCGGTTCTACAAATAATGCAAATAAAGCACGACGAAGAAGAACAGCCTTCACTTCGGAACAGCTTCTTGAATTAGAACGTGAATTTCATGCAAAGAAATATCTCAGTCTTACGGAAAGATCCCACATCGCCCACGCATTGAAGTTGTCTGAGGTCCAGGTGAAGATATGGTTCCAGAATAGACGAGCGAAGTGGAAGCGCGTTAAGGCTGGTTTAACCACTGGTGGTGCTGGTTCTGCTAACCGGCACTCTGGTGGTCAGCACTCGGGAACAGGACCTAGAATTGTTGTACCAATACCAGTTCATGTTAGTCGGCTGGCGGTGCGATCGCATCATCATCATTTGGAAAAATGTCCACAACCATCACCGTCTGCTGGCTTGAATCCTGGTTTGTCGGGTAGTCTTGGCAACGGTTTAAACGGACGCTTAACCACTGGCTTATCTGGTAACACTCAGTTGGGTAGTCTTGCTGGGCTCAGAGCATTTTCAGCACCTCAGCACAGTAGCACTTCCGGTAGGTAGCTGATTGCTTGACACCCCGACGAGCCTGTTGTTGTTTAGTGTACCTGGACAGCCTGAAAAATTCAGTTCTTCTATTTAATATGTTAACCGATAAGGTGTGTCGCGGACGGAATTTTGAAATGAATCGAAAAATCAGCGAAATTTTTGAGATTTTTTAAGAAGGAAGCTTCTTTTTTAACCAGGATGAAATAATTCTTTTTTTCTTTTTTTCTTCAAGAGAAAGAACTTGATTTGACGAACTAGAGGTTAATCCAGGCCTGTGTGTATCCTGAGGAGAATTAAGTCCATGAACAAAGGGTGAAACATGAATATATTCAGAGGCTGGTCGCACCCACGTTCTTACCCGTCCAGAAAAAAAAAGATTCATCTCGATAATCTCCTGTAAGCGGATTGGACGAGAAGCAATTTCAAAAGTGAACGAAGAAAATACCGATATCATGAAAACAATAACCGTATACATGCGTGATTATAGATTCAGTCACGCCTGTTTTACAAAATACTTTTCTTTTCGATATAAAACATTTTCTAATTTTGTACCACGTACGTATCGATATCATACGAACATGCTGTCGGATCAAACTGGGACAATAGAGATGCAGGACATTTTTCAGTAGAAATATCAAGAACTAGGTTAGACAAGAGTCGCATTTGTAAATAAAAAGAAAATAGTGAAAAAATCGAGGAAAGGGGTACGAAGGTAGATACTGTAATTTGTTAAATCATGCGGACTTAAAAAGAAGCCGAGGAGTGTTATATCTAATTATATATATATTAAGGATCTAATATATTGCTACTTATTACGTATTATATTCCACAAGCAAAAGGCATAGTATCTATACCATGCATCTATATGTATATACACCATGTATAAAAACGCAATAAAGCATGTTATTCGAAAAAAATTTCTCATTTAAAAAAATCCATACACTCCCCATCAAGAATCTTCTGCTCCTCTAGGACTTGAACGCGAGTGACATCAATAAATCTTATACACGAATAATGCTCAGGGTTTGAGGTTTCCCGAAGAATAGAAAACGAGGGCGTGAATAGATCTCGCTGTAGACACAGTAAATCCTCGCAAATCCCCCCAGGACAATATAGCTATTTTGACAATTTGTCCTGAAGATTGAAAAAGGCCGGGAGGTCCCTTTGCGTTCAGGCGTGTACCCTGACTTTTTGACTTTTTCTCCCATGGGGTTCCACGGGCTCCCATGGACCGACCTGGTGAACAGTATACCTACGTACTATAACCATCCAGAAGCAGGGTACAAACACGCTCACTATATTCCGTTTCAAAAGGACCCCAGGAAAACGACCTGAACTGACATAAGGCCGTAGCACCTCGTGGGCGTGACTCCATATGTTCTCTATATTCTCTTTATGTAACATATATGCATTCCGTCGACTGAAGCGGGTCTAATTCGTTCATAGGGAGGGATTCCCGTGCTGGTTAATTTGCCTTTTGCCAGCCAGGTGTTGCATTTGCAATGGAACCGCACGCCTAACCTAAAATTTGCTACAACAAATGGACTAAGAACGTTGAGTATTTTCGATGAATATTTACCTAGATATTTTGTATCTTCTACAAGCACAGAATCAATTAGATCGTATTAGTAATAACCATCCGTATATATAACTGTGTATTCGCATATACCCTGTGACATAATAGAAAATATAATGCATCATCGATCACGGGGTTAATGACTGGCAGTTACAGTATATAAAGCAGGAAGGACGTCGAGAATAGTTACGTATATAATGGCGGAGCAGTGCATTATGGTTAATACACGAAAGACCGCGGTCGTTTAGCTGGCGATCTCGGCAGTAACCGTTCCGCGAGGATAAATCATCGTAGTGCTCCTGCCACGCCCAAGAAGGAAAGGACAGGGCAGCAAATTCAACCCCCCAAAAAGTGCACCCCTAAAACAACTTACCCCTGTCATAGTTCCAACTTCCACCTAGGTACACTGAATTTTGCATACACGTACCACGCAGGCCCTTTTATATTACACTGATGTTACGTTTCGGCGTTCTAACCTCCAACTAGAAAATTTCCAACAAAATCTTCACTGACGTATGTGATCTGAGTGGTTTCTTAAATCTACAGGAAGTGGATAACCGACGTAGGCTTACGACCTAACCTATAACTGCTGTAGGAACATCATAAAGAGAATAATGGTAAGCCACGTGACGATTGTTGTTACTTTTCTACCCTGGAGAGAGTTTAGAAATAGGGCGCGTGTCCTTACAAGCTTCGGGCTGGACTGTACGTATAGAAAATGATACACGCTGAAGGAATAATGACGTGTAGCAATGCATTCTATGTAGAGAAAAGACGGAAAATGCGGATCCGAGTCTCTTCCTGAGCAAAAGAATGATATTTACGGGATATTCTAAGTAACAATGAACTGACTTCGAGTCTGTGGTGAGTATAGTGTATTATGTAGGTATATTGCAGTATCTTTGTACGTGGCTGTAGTGATACTATCTATAATAATGTGTATACGCACAGGCCAAGAGAGCGGGAACTTCGGTGCACAATGGCCGACGGGCAATTTGTCATCGATGATTTGCAGTTCTGGTGCCTCCCTGTACTGATTCCTGGGGATTCCTTTCAACGTGAAATCTCGTGCCTTTTTCTACGTATCTCTTTGCTCCTCTGGTTCTATGAACTGTTTGCCTCTTTGGTGAGTTTTATTTGAATTTGTACATTTCTTGATATATTGATCTGTACAGCGGGGAATATAACCAAGCACACAGTGAACATATAGGTAGAGGATGTATATTTATAGAAGAGTACAGTTCACTTGCTTTAGGTTTCCTTCTAGAAGTGGAGTTTTCATAGTTCTGACACAAGGGTGAGGAAGTGCTGGAGGTTAGTTGCCAAAAGGCGACCCTTTCAATCGACGAGTAGCAGTTGGGCGTCCGGGGTCAGAGATTCGACGCGCTCTCGAACTGTTTGCGCAATTTCACGGCCACTTCAGGCAGATCGGGCAAATTGCTCAGATCATTGGGGTGAGTGTGGGAAAGGACTTAAATGTCACACCCGATTCTTTATGAGCAATCTTGATTTTTCTAGGGAATTTGGTATTATTAGTACCGTGGATGTTAATAATTTTAATGATATATGAAGCTTCAGTGATTTATCTATGCATATATTATATATGCCAGGTACTATGAATACGATTTGCTAAGAATAATTAATTTTTAATAATTTATTACGACTCTGATAAATTCATGACCTGTAAATTGAATCATGCAAGTAATAGTTGGGCAACGTTCCAGAGCAGTTTCGATCTCGCCTTCTGCAGTAAACTAAAAAAGATAAGAAAACGGAATAAGGTTTAATCTCAGGGGAAAAAAGTACAGTGTAAAAGAAGGTGTCTTAATCCACCACTCTCGCTATGTGTTACCCTTCCGGAAACCGGAACTCTTTTTCTCCCTAAATTCACCCTCCAAAGACCCTCAGTTCTCAACCTTAACTCACACTTGACATTTTTATCAATCCCATATAACCGTATACTGTATTTCCAATGACAATTAAATTTCTAGATTCTTTTATCCACAATGTCAAAGATTTCCCCAAATTCTTAAAATTTCGATTTTGAAAAATACAAACACCTAATAAAATAATCTTTCACAGACTCTCGTTGAGAACCGTCACTGCCACTAATCGCTGTCGTCGACTCCTAATTGAGAAAGAGGCGACCAGCAAGCAAGCAGATCTCAACTCTCAAGTCTGAGCCAAGTCTCGTAAGACGTAAGTAGGAGGCGAGGCTAAACCAGAACAGTTGCGGATAAGAAATAGAGAGACAGTGTGAGGTATAAAAGAGAGAGAGAAGATAGGGGACCAGAGAGATTTCACGTATAACGTAGGGAATCAGAAGAGGACCCTGGCTTTTCTCGTCCCATGGGAGACCCCAGGGTGTAATTGCTGCGGTAGGCGGCGCCGAGCAAAGCTTCATGCCAATGGGCGTGGCTCACTGATTACACCGCAGCGATACTGATATCGTCGCTACCCCTCGACCCAGGAACCAGAACTCATTCTAACCAGAAACCTAACCTAAAACCATCCCGAAGACCTTTAAGGGCACCACGAGCTATTGGGTCTCTTACTAATTCCTTACCACACTTGGTTGGAAGTGGGTAGCTGATATATAGAATTTAGAAAAGAATTAAGCTAAGTCCACTGTCATAAAACTTCATACACATTTTTATGTAACCATTTTTTTATATCTCTTTTTTTAGTAGTTTGATATCTTTTTTTTACTGTATCGACAATCCGCTGGACTCATGTGTGAAGGAATAACGATATATGGATGGTTCCACCCTTTCATGGTACTACAGACCTGAAATTGTCAGGCCCTTCTCTCAATTTCCCTTTATTTGACATTTAAATGCTCCTTTACGCGATTTCCGTTACAATTTCGGCCAATTCCTTAGACTGTCCGCCTCAGGGTATCCTCTGCTATTGGTCCACGCCCCGCTGACTGGACTGTTTTTTATTGCCGCGGTTCCAATGGGAGAAAAAGAGTTGTCCATCCAACTGATCCACGTACAATGGCATTGGCGATGACAATAGTTCTCAGTAGTGTAGACCAGGGTGTAGTAGGTAAGTGGTAACTCGTGGACAGTGACTTGAGTCAGCATCGCTTCAGGGTTTACGAATTGACCGTAGGATAAACATTTTTGCCTCTTTATCGTATTCTCTTCTCTGAAAAAATTGCCATTCATTTTATTAGGTATTTATCGTTAAACTTTCGTGAATTACCTGAGAGTATAGTACAATTCGTAGTTTCCTTTCTGAATATACAATGAGATTTATTTCAGGGAGTAAAATTTCACCTGTCATCCTATTAGATGGAAATAATTATCTGGACCATGTAAGATATTTATACATATATACAGACATATATATATATACACTGATCAATAACAATTTTATTTTCACTTTGTTACAGGGTTCTTCACACTATGGTCAAGTCCCTAAAAAATTACCAGAACATTAATTACAGTAGTATTCATACAACGCTATAGCTATATTGCTAAAAGGACTTTGAAAATTGGTATAATTTCATACCTTAAACTGTTTACGATGGAATTAAATGTAATTGTCAAGATTACACCAGGCGCATTACACCCCAGCGTTAATCACTATAACAAGGTAATGACAAGAGTACCTATAACGAGAAAATAATCACACATCACGTTGGAAATGCGAAAGAACGCTTAAAAGTATTCCACGTCCCGTTACGTAATGGTATCTCTGAATAATTTAATTGTAGGTAAGATCAATAAAAGTGCGATTATTTTCTTTTAAACTCGAAGAAGTCTTTTCCAAAATGATTTTCTGGCACGTATCAGGCACAAAACAGAGATACTGGAATCTAATGAAAAATTGTCGTTCGATCTCACGTCAAGCTAATTCGATATTAAATATTAATATAAGAAGAGCAAAGTTAAGCGCGTGTGATATGATATATTTATTCATAGATCCGATCGGAGCATCGGGTGGGCGTATCATCAATTTGCCAGGGCGGTCAGCCTCGACTTTAGTTTTTTATCTAGGATCGCGTTCCTAATGAAACTAGGTGACCAGGCAGAAATTCAAAGCGAGAGACAGAGAGAGAGAGAGAGAGAGAGAGAGAGAGAGAGAGAGAGATGTTGCGGCCGAGGGAGAGGGGGTGGTCCCAGGGTGTCGGCAACAGCTGTGAAATGTTTATGAAGGCCCGACTAATTTATCACACTCACACAGAGTTACCACGCGTGCTGACTTTATCACACTTGCGCCATGCTTATACACGAGGGAGAGGAATCGATACGCCGCTGATAGAGTTAATACTGGCTTCACGTATTTTCTTAAACGCAATGCGGGAGTTATATTGAAATTTACTATCAATCCACGTTATTTAAATGACGTCCTTCCATCTATACACAATGCATGCGTCGCAATGCACATTTCTTATTATTGTCAACCACGTGCAATTAAATGAATCTTTTATTTAGGTAGCTATATACATCGTGTATTTCGACTACCGTTTCATAAGTCAAACACCACGTTCTTTGGTGCGCCGACACCTAAAACACCGTCTGCATACCAAAACGGCCAACCGTAATGTCCGCCATGATTGCGACACACGTATCTTCTTTATTAACCTGCCGACCATTGAGAACGAAGAGTAAAGCAGATTTAACCAATTTTTATTGTGACAAATTTGTATCAATATTTTTTTTGGTAATATTTAAGTGTAAAAGATTCTCATAGAATATCAATATGCCGTGGATAAGGTTTTTTTGCAAAAGAAATAAATTATACCACAGGGACTGTGTATGGTTAAAATTGCAAACGTAACCCAGCCGAGGGTTGCATTATTTTATTAGTGGGTTTGCGGGCACGAGGCAATAATTCACGTTATTAATACGCCGTAACAGCGGACTGCTAATGGTACAAGGGTAGCATTTAAGGGTGAGCATTGAGGGTCTCCCCACTTTTGAATTACCACCTCATTTATATTTCACGTGTGAGTTAAGCGCGCGCTTCCTTCCCGACCCGAGGACAACTATTAATTTTTATATAAAAAATTTAATTCTCAACTATATCTGGTAATTGAAGGGCGCTCGATTAACCCTCAAATATAATTTATTTCTTGGCTATAAATACTGCAGTCCCCCTCCATTCTCGTTGCATATGATGAATTGTAACAGCTCAATGCAATTCTTACATAACTAATGTCGTTTTTCATCTAAAAATATGATGTATCTTGATAATTAATAAAAAAAAAAGTATCCATAGAATATTGTCGTTTCTTATAAAATCAAGTGAAATCTTCATCCTCCATTTTCACAGAGAGTGAATACGAAGGATTCCTCAGGAACGAAATGATGGGTGTGACCGGTCTCGATGGTATCGGGTGTTTGTTTAAATAATTGAATGCTTTGGGATGTGTATATCTTCAAGTCGGCATCTGAGCAGGCAATATGTATGATAATTTTTACATGCCCACACCTTATAATAGGTCTACTACAGTATACACAGTCGTATAGTCAGTATACGTTAACTGGTTAAGATCCAACGTATTTCCATCAGCTTGAATGCACGTTGTCCTCGTAAATTATTATATTAATGCGACGGAGGAGCTTTCATTGAAGAATTTCTACCACCCTTAATATAGCAACTGTAACAGATAGTAGACAGGTAATGGTGCAAATTATAGGTTAGTTTCTTATGCTCATTACTTGCTTTAGTGACATCTTTCGTTTTCTTCTAATATTTGTTCGATTAATTAAAAATCCATTGGGGCAATTATCATTATGTCTATTATTGAATTATCATTCATAATAAAGGTGACTTTAGCGTCTTGATACATGGACCAAATTCATTAACCCTACAATGGTAAGGCAACATTTTTGTATAGGTAAAATGTCGTTGTTGTCGTCATCTTACCGTTTTAAGGTTAAGTGTAATTCGTATGCGTTTAGGATATCGTTGGTGTCAAATTTGTCAGTTTTATCATTGAGCTAATGACTTACGACAGGAATTCCTTATTATTCTTTGACTCGTGCTTCCTCCATAGAATCTGACGACAGGACGGAGCATCATTAGTGTCAAGATTACCACCAAGTCTTGACGAATAAATAAGACTACATAAAAAATAAATGACTGAAAACAACGTGGAATTCGAAATTAAACGGTGCTTCGTAACGTGTATCGGAAACAATGCTACGGTTCAAATGACAGCTGAAAAACGCGCCACGAATTTTAAGTGAGAAAAATCTCAAGCGTTTGTTATATTCCAAAAAGGCGGATACCTGACGCCTACGCCTATGTTAACGAGATTCGATTGGTAAAAAAAAAACAAAGAAAATCCACTTCCATATTTACAGAAATAAATAAGACCAGTTAAAATTTCAAAAAAAAAATTAAAAAATTATTTACCACCTATATATACATACCTTTCAAAATTCCACAAGCATATATTATTCTTTATATATTCCATCGATAATACAATTTTCGTTAATTAATACACGCAATGGATATACATTGAATTATTACACATTATTTCATTATCAACAGTAATTAGGACATGACTTTTTTTTCTTTTTTATCCACACGTAACCAGACGCGCTCATGGTTATCAGGACGTTCATAAGCCTATCTGTAATAATAACAATTCATTCGATGATATATTCATTTACCTGCCATTCCGAGAGCGACGAGGGATCTAGAATGGTGCCACTATGATCTATGATCCATCTTGATCCTCGGCTTACGTACTCTCGAAGCGGGACAGAATCTGGACACCGTGTACGACATAACAAAGTATTATATTACAATTGGGCGTGACTTTGTTCACGATCGATAGATCGTAACTTAGATCTACGGTGGAACGAATGATCCAGGATCAATGACGAGTCGAGAATTGCTTAAATAAGATAAAATGATGAAACTGGCGTGAATGAATTTAGACGTGGAAATATCAATGCCGTATACGTGAACGTTAATTTCTCTTAATCAATAATAGGACACACGGATAAAATAATATTCTCGACTCGGTATATATATATATATATATATATATATATATATATTCTCTAAGTGAGAAATAATATTTTCAAAATTAGTCATACGCTAAATTCAATAATTCTTGCGACACAATAACATACAATTATAACAATCGGACTTAATACTAAGGTAGACGTAATACTATTTTTTTTTTATATTCAGGAAAATAATCGCCACGATCAGTAACAGACATGATATTAATTACAGTACAAACAGAATTATCGTTCAGTATGCGTTGATATGGCGGTTAGCGATTTTTTTTAGTTTTACCATTTTTTTTTTTTTCTAAAATCAAGTATTGGCTTATTGTCGCTGTGTGCACGCGCTCGCGTTTGTGTGTGTGTAATGGTGTACCTGTGTGTAGGTATGCATGTGTAATTATCTCGTCAAGAGAGTAATTAATAATTAAAATAAATAATCTTAGGTACAACTACTCGTGGAATTGTTAAAGAATTTTCTCATCGACGGAACAAATGAGGACTTACAAGTTTCTATATTGCAGCTTATATAACTTTTAACAATTATATTAAAATTGCCGTTGCTGTTATCATCGTTATGCAATTCGCGACACCCAAAACCTCCATCAAATTTTCTCTGAACGTCTGTTATTCTCTTTTTTGCCTTTGTACCATTTCCCTCGAAATCAATTTCTGGGCCGAATGGATACGCGAATCCGACAGTCAATAAATTGCTACAACGTTCAAAGTACTTAAAAAAAGCAAGGACCCAAAGGGAAAAATCTATGTATTAAACATAACTACTAATTTGCCAAATAATCCTGTAACAAAAGTAGATTCGTCAGGAAACGAGGGAAATGCAAAAAAAGGAGTAATACAAACGACAAAGCATGGTCTAGCACTTAACTATGTAAGTTCTACGTAACGTCCGCGACTCTTTAGCTATTTGAAGAAATTAATAGTTAATAACTAATTTGACTAATTGTTATTATACATACATACAGATATCCTTGGACATTGGATTTTGGTATACTTTCGGCTTAAGGCTCTACAATACTCGCCTGGTGACATTGGGTGAATATCATTATGCATGATCGTTAGAGCCCTTTATTCTTTTGCTGGGCTTACCTTTAAGTCTCTTAATTTTCTATATAATTTCTTATGTTTCGCTGACTGAAAAATAGCATCGTCGATGCTCGTAACGAGAAAATTGTATAATTGAAATCGACATTTTTTTTATCGACGTTTCAATGCCTTTTAATGACATATAAATATAATGAAAAGATCGATAAAAGCGTGTTACGCATTAATTCGAATATACAATTCATGGCCCTGTTCATTGAGGAGCATAAGATTGTCCTGATATTCTCATTTGAAATTAATACAAGACATCTGTTTGCACGAAGAGACTCTATATGACCATTTGCAAATTGGACAGTCTAAAATTATCTAAATAATAAATTCATTTTACTAACAATACGGCGCATTAAAATACGGAACAATAATATTCAAGAATATACAATTTCAAAGTACATTCTGCATTCTCGCGCTAACTTAAATACGAATCAATTGTAATATCGGCCAGCCGAAAAAGATTTTGGTTAAAATGGGGGAGGAGAATACCGTATCCGGCAAAGCTGATCACTGTTCAATTAGATACGAAAGAAAGAAATAAACGCCTAAAAGAAGAAATTAATAATCGCGCGAGCCTAATATCTCGAGGGACGTTGTATCTTATCCTTTTTTTTGTACTTGGTAACTGTTTTCATGTATCCTGCAATTTACGTACAATAATTGGGATCACAACTAGCGCCACGGTAGCTAGTTCTAGAATGAAGTTTTCACTCGTTCTATGAATTTTTAGAATAAATAAGAGGAAAGAAAATGAATGAACAGGAATCGATATCCACGATTTAAATAGCTCGAATAATATTGTATGAGCGTGTTGTTCAGTACGGCGTCCATGGCGCTGAAATTTCGTCCCGATTTGAGATACGGTTGACCTCGAGTTATTCACGCTCGAAGGCACTTCTTTTGACGTTCAAACATTGAAGCGCGTCTCTGAGCCGTCGGCCAACATTAAAGTGACGGTGCGATTATTAATCCAGATGAGACGAGCAAGTCGCATTGGATTCAAACGCGTCACGTCATTTATCGGCGCAGTGCTGTAGGACTTGACGCAGCGCGTTTGCGAATTTCCAAGACCAAACATTCCGCTACTCGTTTGCTGAAATTAATAAATAATTATGGACAATGATTAACATATAAGATCCTGGATAATGGATCATATATATTTACCTGCCAGAAACATAGCTTATTCTCGGAGCAGGAGTAGCTGACGAGGAACTTGCCCTCCGGAGAAAAAGCTAGTGCGGTCACTGGCGCTTGATGAGCCGCCACTGTTTGACACTTGACATTGGCACGTAATTCATAGAGTGCCAATTGACCTCCGCGACCTCCCACTGCTATCCTACGTGTGGCCGGGCAATGACTGACCTGAAAATTAATAATTAAATGCGTTAAGTGATTTGATTTTTATTGAGACTTTTGTTTTTCTATATTTACCTGATTAAATCTGCATACTGCTGGGAAGACTTCGTTCAAGGGTTTGGTCTTCAGGTGCCCGGGGTCCAAACAGTGAAGAATAATATCCATTACCTGTAAAGATATATTTTTAATATTTGGAAAATATATTTCCCGTGATTTATTATTCTTTTAAATTTTATTTACCTCTACTAATAAGTCGCTCATTTCGCTCTGCATCTTATCTATCAACTGCTCCACGATCCGAAGTATCTCGGGCTTGGCTCTGGCCAATACACTAGCGCCTAGATTGACGTTAAGGGTCTGTGCGTTTTGTTGTAACGTATTAAATCTCGCGACTTCGCGCGCCATCGTCGTGATAAAAGCTGCTGGTCTAGCTGTTGCGATTAGGGTTAAAGCATGACGTGCTGTTCTGCATGTATCCGCTTGGGGCGTCAAAGGTAGACCGTAGGTCATACTAGGTACTAATTTATCTGCATCACAACACATTTCCAGGAGACCAAGTAGAACCTAAAGATATACAAAAGTATAAATTATAAATACTTCATAGGCTAGATACTTTTTGGTGAAATCCAAAAATTTGCCCACTTTAGAAACATCGAGGTAAGGTTCCCAGACGGTGAATCCTCGACCAATAAGATCAATGGCGGCTCTGCGCAGAGCTGAATGCATTGGTAATTTTGTGCAGTGAGGTGCCTGCAGTAGATGAGTCAGAGCCATACTAGTATGTCTGGCCAGGTTATTATTTCCAATTCCAAAACCTTCTACTACCGAGCTCTTCCTTCTCTGGTCATTTTCCCGTCGCTGATTGACAGTCGCGACGTCCTGACCAAATTCTGCACCGATGACACCCAGCAGGACAACCGCCGTGGTCTGTTTCCGCTTCAATTCTGCTACGCTCGACGGTTTCCTGGCTGTTGGTATATCTACAGATATAAGATCCACTTTTAATGATCTTCGAGAATATTTATAACATAGCACATACACAGGATGGATACTTTACCTTCAGCAAGTTCTTCCTCCTCATCTTCTTCTTCCGGTTGTGCTTCACCAGGTGGTACTGGACTACCAGGTGGTGGACTTTGATTCTGTGGTTGAGGTGCTATAGGCTCCAGGGTACTGTACATAGGTAAATATTGAGACCAGCTATCTACCAAAGCTTTTCTACCTTTGGGACCCATTCTGCCAAGTTCTGCCAGAAGAAGAGCTTGAGCAGCTTCACGAACTTCGAGGCACTGGTGCTGCCATCTTCGCGCCATCATTTCTACTTGAGGACGCTTAAACGTTTTGGATCCTCCTTGTGCGGCGACTTTATCTGGAAGTAGGACACAGTGTAGTGTCGCCAACAAAGACCAGCCTTGCTTTATCTGTGCCTGCTGTACTGTGTAAATTTCCTCGTTCTCCTCTTCGGCTTTGTTCCAGCTTACCGCGGCTCTATTTCCCGGCCTAGAAATTAATGATTCAAATACCAAAGTACCATACTCTATGTAGAAACTGTCATAGGCAAAACTACAGTACCTGTGCATCTTTCTATTACGCTCTTGCTCTGGAACGAAGGTAGCATTGTTCATAGACATTAATGTATTAGCTAGTGCAACCACTGCGAGGAGATGATTGCTAGTTAGAGTTGTAGAGAGTTCCCAGTGTGCTCTAGCGGTAAAGGCTCTCGTCAGACGTTCTTGCCTGACTAGTTCAACTGGAAGTCGTTGCTCAAGTTGAGTCGCAGGTTCTCCAGCGGGTTGAAGTTGAATTTGCCATGTGGGCAGTAGCAGAGACATATATCCTTGAAACATATGAAAGTTAATTTTATAAAAGATAACATGAATCGTTTATCTATGTCGTATAAAGTTGTGATGCATTAGTCAGACTACCTCCTTTAGATAGTACACCAAAAGAAACTGGTACCATAGGTCTCAGAAGACCCAACTTTCCCTCGCAGACTCTGTCCAGGTCAGGATCCATTCCCCAGCCGTGAAGAAGACTCAAAAGCAATTGAGCGACTTCCATCGTGGCGTTTGGTTCACTGAAGGCACCATTTCTCTTCAAGCTGTTCCTGGGTGTGTCATTATTACTCCAGCCGTCACCTAGGAAGAATTTCAATGATGTCAAAGTGGCAAAAGCAAGAGTCAAGCATGGTGGGGAACTACGAAAGTGCGCTCGCACAATGGTAGCGTGCTAGATAAACAAAAAATTAGGACAAATAATGAATTAAAATTAGAATATCTTCAAGCGGTACTCGAGCTGTCTGAAGTCTGCACTATAAAATCGTGCAAGCTTCTCTTGGCCGAGAAACACATAGCAAAGTTACATTAAAGAAATGACTGAAGTTTGTTCGAACGATACAAAACATCACACTGACAAAAGACATCGGATCATCTAACGCAATCATCAGTGTCACGTCAATATTTCTGTAGTGGCATTTTGCTAGTACTCAAGCATATGTAAGAAAAGCAGAATTTAGCAAAAAAAATAATTGATAAACATCTTAATGCGTGCTTGTCTGATGCATGACATAAGTTGCTTGCCGAACAGCTGCGCTAGAAAAATTATTGTATAAATAAAATAATATTTAAAAAATATATAATAGCCTTTGGGATATCTAAGTATGGTGCATACGTAACTAGTTATACGACCATATTGGTTACGCAAAGTTCAATCTTACGTACTTGATATGCCATATCTGTATGATTATAAAATTTAGCAGCTTGGCAGACGCTTTAGAAGCAACTACACATGATTTAATATACAAACGAAACATTTTTGATGTGCATTAGGCTTGCGGTGTTTTGACGTAATGCGTGCTGAACTTAAATTATAAATATAAAGGGTTCGCTACTCGCAGTTTTCATAGATAAAAAGGAACGTACGACGGATACGTAACATGAAATTAAAAAGCGAAAATGTAAAATCTAAGTAGAGAGGAAATCCATGCGTCATTATTTTGCTGAATAATGAGTTCTAACTCGTAATTCGCACTGAGAGCTAACCTTTGCCGTCAAGAGTCGACGGCTTGAGGCCAACGCTTTCCGCCTTGGCCTGCAACTTAGTTTGCACATTTTCCGCACTCTCCTTCATCTTAGCCAATATACCTATAGAAAGAGAGTCCCTTTATATATGTTTTTATCGTCCTATATAGTTTGGCCGGCTAGTCAATCTATGGTCAAACCTTTAAGCAATTTCTAATAGAGGCTTTCAGATTAAGAACGAGAAGAAGATGATGATTAAAATGCTAGGATACACAGAGGATGTAGTGATAAGCAAACAACATACATATGAGGATTTTTAAATTCTGACAGCAATTCGTTTTGACGATTTTTTTAGCCACAGACACAGACAATAGATTTGTAGCGTTTTGAATGGCTGCGAATGTTATAGGGATTTTCATAAATTTGTTTTCTACAACGCAAATCACTTTTTCGGTTACTAATTCTTGAACTGCTTATTGGATTGCTAGTTCTATTTTGAAAATCCCTATTGAAACTTTCCAAAGGAGTACGACTAAGGTGGGATGGGATGGTCTGATATGTGAAAACTTTGCAAAATAGAACAGAAAGGATGAACGTTACACAACAAGAAACACGATACCGTGACGATCCTTCTCCTTCAGAATTCTCTCAACGTCGCCTGCCTTATCCTTGACGCGACCGAAAAAGTCTACAAATGGAGACACGAGGACAATTTTTATTGACAACTTAGTGTCCAAAGTGAGAATAAATGAATGTGATAATATTAAGTGATTCTCTTGCTCGCTCGAGCCAGCCCCATTTTTTAATCCTTACCTGCAATTTTCTTATGAGCATCCGGACTGGCAGATTGTGTAAGTGCTGCAACTTTTTGATACTCCGCGGCCGAAATTAGGCCTTGCGCTTCCAGCGAGCTTGGCGACATCGAGCCATACTCGTCACTCAGTAATTGTACTATACCAACCACGTAATAATTTATGAATAATCCAAACGGCCTTTAGCCAATATAGGACTGGTTAATTTTTTTTTAAATTGGCTGAAAATGACTTCATATGGTTTACGTAGAATATTGAAAAGATTTGTTTTACCTATAAGCGCCTCGATGTCGAAGAACAGAATGTGACTTTCTGGATCCTTAGGGTTGCTTCTAAATCCTTGAATCATCAGTGGTGCTCCTTTTGCTTTTATTTGATTTCCATGCTCGCTGCCGTGACCGCCATGTAGTTGCTGAAGCTGATGTAAACCTCTTTGTGTTGCGTGACGAATTGCTGACAGGTTCCGGTGCCTCAGTCCTCTAAAGAAACGATATCATTATCAGTCCTATTTTCTAAACTATTTATTTTGTATTATTGGAATTACGTAATACCTGAAGAAGTGAACAGCAGGATTGGCCAAACCTAGTTCACCACCAGCTGCGGAACCACCAGCTGTCGCTATGGTGTTCTCGTCACAGGCGTACAAAACTTCCTCAGCAATTATACCTGTAATGAAATAAAAGCCTGAGGTCAAACTAAACGAATAAACTAATAATGAATGAAAATAGAATAATAAATTCACCGTGAAGAACTCTGTCCAAGTGACCAGTTTCCATTTGCCATACGTAAACAGCTCCATCTGAACAACCAACTATCATGAAGTCATCAAGTGGTCTCCACTTTATCGTCACAACTGGGAACAAGTGTCTGGAAGCTAAAACGACGCACTTTCTCTCAGCCAGAGAGAGTAAAGTGACACTGTGATCGGACGCGACACTGCAGACACACTTCTGTATCCTAGGCTATAAAGTGAAAGAGTAATAAATGAAGAGTTCAAACAAATCACATACAAAAAATTATCATCAATCAATAATAGACAAATTGTACACTGCAGTTATCTGGTGGCACCAAAAGCTGCGTGATCTCGCCAGCGTGAACACAAAATCTATGGATCAAAGTCCCAGCATACAAATCCCACAAGCATACTGCAAAGTCTACAGAACCGGAAACCAGGTGAGTCCTATCATAACGAGGTGCAGCACCATGAGGATACAGAAGACAATTAACGCGTCCTGAATGCCCAAGTAGAACTTGATGCGGTGGCCAATCTACAAGTAACAATATAAATTAAACAAGCTAACCTGATTGACTATAAAAATTATAATCTTACCATCATACTGCTGATGATTTCCATGAAGCAGTTGAAGCATAACAGTCTGTGTAGCTGGAACTATGATAATACTGCCATCCTCACGTCCAACAACGAGTCTACTCTGTTGTGGCAAATAAATACTGGAAGTCAATTTAATTCTATGACTCTCGTCAGTATCCAACTGGTCCAGGATGCCAACTGGTGATGGTTTCATAGCTTCCCAGGCTTCCGTCAAGCTAGTCTTCACCGTAGGCGGCAATCGAACAGGTCCGTCATTCTGATTAGTCTGGGATGGCTGCTGAATACCGGCATCAGGAACTGTCCAGAGGAGGACGACGCCTTCGCTGTCACCTCGTAGCAAGTACTTTAAGGTTTTACCTTGTCGTTGTACGGTCACCAGTCGCATCGCCGGGGGACACGAAAGGGGCTGAAAGAAAAGTCCAGTCAATTTCTACATTCCATATTACTATTCCTGTGAACTGTACCTTGTCTCCCGGTTGTGTCAATGTGCAGTACAGGTAAGGTTGATCGGAATCCGCTGCTGCTGTGTGAAATTCTTTGTTGTCCGCTACGCTACTATAGGGTCGTACAGAAACAATTGGTAATTACTTATAATTAAAAACTCTTGACGCCTTTTCTTTTAAAAAGCATACTAACTAGTAACTCATGGAATTATTTCGAGATCTAGGATTCCTCTAATAATTCTTATGTTTCCATTCCATGAATTATTAGTGTGTGGTTACCTTAACATTAAACCCACGCAAAAGCCTGGACACACCCTTTAACAAGTTATGAGTTACAATTGCAATTGTAATTGCATTGACAATGCATCGTTATTAGTATGACACTGAATTGCGGTATTTGATATTGGAAAGCGTCGAAGGATTATTTAAAGTGTTAGATTTTGAAAATAAATACTATACTAATTTGCTCGACGCTGCCTTATCACTAGCGAAGTTATTATTTTACATAAGGATATAAAACGAAGCACTTCACAGTTAACAACGACAATTTGTATACTAGATATGTAAAGATACGTTAGTTCAAGCGATCAATTAAAATGGTCAACAGTCACGTCATATTTTTAATGGTGTTATTGATCAGTCAATGCGTGCGAAGCAGCCAAGGCGACAAGTAAAGTAAGGACGATGATGACGTGCTGTGAAATGATGTGCGATATCTTTTGACCGCTATGTATATCGAAATACGACCAGTTTAAGCGGAGCGGTCTCAGGTTCCACGATTGATCATCATACAATTAACGAGACCATAACCAGTCTTGCGTTGTGTATATGTGACTCGTATCGCAGGAGAGTAATAAAACAATAACTCATACAAAAAAAAGAGACTAAATGAAATTCCGTTAACCGTAAGCCCCAAAAAATTGTGCAATATAAGATCAGAACAATAAGACTGATCAGTCCATAATTATGAACCATATTAATAGTACACAAACCAATAATAACACCAATGAAACAAAGAACTCTGCTACGCACTTAGAGTTGAAAATTCTAATTGATTATAAACAATTAATTAACGTAAACCAATCATATTTTACAAGTATATAGAATTAATTATAATTTAATTCTAAATACCAGGCTGAGTGTATATTACACGTTCTACCGTGCAGTCCATAATTATAGACTCAAATCAAGAGACAAGATGTGACGTATTATTAAAGATAATGAAAATATAGAAATAAAAAGTACCCAAACAGTATATATATCATAAGAGACAGAGACAGAGAGTAAGATAGACCATGAAAATTATATTACGTAAGAAGTAATGTGGGGTTACCTGCTGAGAGCCTTGCCCTTCAGCTTGCTAGAACAGACCAAGTCCCCCGTAGAGTGTGGTAGAATTAATGTTACGTGGAAAGAGACACGTCACCGTAAAAACAGATCAATGCGTTAATCGGTACATGACTTTTCTCGTCTTAGGACAGAAGAAGAAATCATTGTATATCAAGAAGTTAAAATTATATTTCGTTACGCGAGACGCTCCGCGATATACGTAATGGACGATTGCGTTAATCAGTTGTAATAATATTATAAAAAGACAGGAGTGTTCACATTACTTAAAGATACAATGATTTCTGGATTTCACTAGAAGTAATTAATTCTTCGTCGGCGCTTGATGATCTTATGAGATGAAGTATACGAAGATGTTTCTCGATGATTGGGATTGTCGATAAGTAGGTATATAACATCGATGCAGTTCTTTATGCAGTTTTGATGCATTTGTGAGTTCCCTGCAAGCTCACGTACAATTCACGCTGACTGTAATCGGGGTCATTCAATTAATTGACACTACATATAGAACAAAGATATTAATTGTCGAAAACAATTTCGTGTTTAGTGATGACTAATGATGAATCGTCTTTGGCCATCGTTTTACGTCTCAAGTTTTCATATGGTGATTCTTATATATGCGAATGTTGTTATTGTCTGTCAGCAGAATAATTCACTAAATGACAGACAAGGAAATCCGGTAATCATTTTGACTGCATAGATTGATCTTGAAAGTATCTTGAATTTTACGTGGAATTGAGCTGTGACCAAAGACTTGATGAATGTACCTATGACAATTGACAGATATAGAAATAAATAAACAAGTGCATTGCCAGCAAGTGCTTCTACCGAGCGGCTGTATTTTCAAAATTAAAATTCGATCCCTATATGTACGTGTATGGGAACCGAATTTAAATAGCGTAAAATTCGTTTACGTAAACGTAAGCGAATTTTACGCTAAACTAATGAAAGTTTAATGATGGAATTGACTTTAGTGCGACACAGATTTGATTTTATCTAGCGAGATGATTTCTGTCCTTAATTGTGGAGCTGATCAAAAATTTGTTATGGCTATATTTTTTTATACGATAAGTCGAGACAATGTAAAGAATGTTAACCAAATTTGTCCTTAAAGGAAACCCATGTAAATAAATGATTAATTTGCAACTCAATTCTCACAACTTTACCCATCGTGCAGAATCATTAGGTTTTGGTGCTTTTTGAGTAAAAAAGTAAAGAAAACTCAATGTACCATCACCAATTCTCTCCCTGCCAGGCTAGCCGCAACCTTGCGTTAAATCGGTTTGTTAATAACTCCCATAAAAACTCATTAGAAAAACGTGTTAGTCCAGTCAAGTCGAGATTAAACTGTAAGGATCTGGTATTACAGTAATATGATCAGTAAATGATTCTATTCAGGTTTAAAAAGTAGTGTTAAAAAGATGAATGACTCTTACAATAAAAAATTTACTTTAAATACCAAAAAAAAAAGTGGAACGTTCTTCAAGGTAATATTCATCGTTTTAACACGGTTTAGTATTTCTACAAATATGAAGCTACCTTTCAAGATGTACCAGAGTCCTAAAAGGAATAAAGAAATAATGAAATCATTAAAAAAATCATTTGTAAACCGGCAAATTTCTACATTTCAATGTTATCATAAAATGGAAAACCCATGTCAAAGTTATATCTTTGGAATTTACTTAAACCCTACAAGTTCTAAGAACATTATGACATCGTAAAATCGACAAGGGTATAAAATTGACATACTTGGCTGGCAATTTGTAAAGGTAACCGTGTCCCTCGTCGCTCCAGACGATAACCCTATCAGCCGTCAGGAAGTCTCCAGCCATCCAGCGTTCTCCACATGGCGCAGTGACAGAGCATAATACTGAGAAATCTCCAGCGTCGAATATCTTTTTTGAAAAATATCAGTATCAGTTTTCATGAAGAGACGAAAGGAAATCCTCAAATAATTTTCTTAACAAACCTGCCAATACTTGGAGCACACTATGAGCACCGTACGTTGATTATAAGGACAGCAGGTCATGGCCAAGGCATTGAGGCATCGTATCTGCTTGCTCTCGTGTTCATACAGTGGTTCGCTGTTCCTGTTCTCGTGACCGAGGAGTGTCCAGACTTTGACGGTACCAGTAGTCGTCAGGGCGAGCACCACGTCGTCTTTAAAGGAAGCGAATTAGTTGTTGCATAGAAAGGCAAATATTGTAGATAGAGAAAGCATCGGAAGACATTCAAAGCAACTTTGAAACGTGGCGAACAAGAATTAACATTGTCGAAAAGTTCAAGACACGGGGAAGTCGAGAATACTCGATTGATCAATCAAATTAATCTACGACAAAGATATGCACATTCTGAACAGTTCAATAAAACAAGATTCCAATAGACTGCAGGTTGACTGGGACGGATTTCCAATTATTTAGGATTGTTGGGCACTGCTCTTAGTTACACGGTATTCCAGGATTTAATTGGCGATGAAGTCACACTTAATTTGCCGCGCAACATTTTTCGCAATCCGCAAGCGCAAATTAATTGAATTGGACTTGATGTTAGTCGCTGTGACATAATTGTAAGATGCTGTTAATTCTTTCTGCAGGCCGACAGACTGACGAAGAATGCTGTGTATTAAATAAAGAGTACCAATTGTTAGAGACATGTTCGTAACACAGGCTGACAGACTGACTGTTAGAGACTAAGGTTAGAGAGCAGTTTAAATTTTATATAATTTTATGGTACATGCAAAAAAGGAATATATATTTTGAATTTCGAAAATCTCATCTTCAAAATGATTGCGTAAGTATTATTTAAGCTAGATACCATGTTGTTACTCTAGGATAGAATTTAATATGCTTGATCAGCCATGAATAGAGTGTCAAGTGACCTATCAGTAAATAAAAATAAATCTAATCTGCTCGAGAAACAGGATTTCAGATAGAACTGGTTTGAATAACTTCTCAATGTTATTCAAATGATATATAAATTAAGAAATCTAGACTAGCACGGTGTCTTACAGTAAAAGGAGTAGACCACAAGTCTAATAAAAATGTTACTATATACACTGTATGCAGAGACTAATGTTAGATATAAATACTTTTATGAGTAATGCATGAACCATTGTATGGTCTGGAATAAGCAGTAAATAGTATACGAACAATATTCTAAATACACAAAGAAACTACAATTATCCAATTTGCATTCTACTAAAACTAACACATCAGGACAAAGTCGAGTCGCGACATCAGTTCCAGATTCAGGGGACTTATTTAGGCTGTAAGCTATTTGATGATGGCCCCTTAAGGTGAAATTAATCTCGCGGTTTGACTGTAGTAACGACTAAACACATTTCTTTCTACTTTTGAACCTTCGAATACAATAAATTGTGTATCCATACTTACGACAGACAGTATACTGGTAAGAGCGAATTGCGAGTGATAAATGAATAGCTAATGGAATTTGAGCGAATAAATGATAGAATCCAAATGCATGATAGAAACCAAAAATGCGAAACTTGTATTGAAATTATTACGGATGTATAGAAGATCATTGGTCAGTAAATAATGTTAAATTCTACCCAAAAGATATTATGAGTATTTAGTGAAAATAAAGAGAAAGGTTGAAGAAAAGGAAGGGAAGGAAAAAGATTAATAAGAAGAGAGTAAATTGTGATTCAGAAAGTAAATCTAAATGATACATTATAGCAACCCAGTTTGAACTACCAGCAGGCTAGAATGAGCCTTCCCATTTTTCAAATTACATGCTGCAACAATTTAATTTTGATTAAAATATTAATATCTCGAGCCACCACCTTAACGTCGATTATGCCCGAAGTTCTGGATTGCCTTTAGAAGACAAGTGTAAGAACTGGTCTGAAGAGACGTTGAACTATCCGATATAATATTTACAGAACGTTAGACTATCAGTGGACTCTTGTAATTAAAGCGCCAATTTTTTGCTTCCTGCATTAAACCTTATGTTTCACCGAAAAAAAAATCCCAGGTAAGGACAGAAAATAAGCCCAAAATAAGCCCTACAGAAAGTAAACCCATTTTAAAAATTAACAATAAATTTCACACATCTCGGTCTGACGCTTCTTTCTAAAGATATACTATCTGGTAGATTAGTACCAATAAAAAAGATATAAGTATGTGTATATCAGTAAGAAAATATCAGATCGAGAAAACACTTGTTCATCAACTACGAATACGTGAAACGCTTGCCCAAAAAAATCAAACTCAATTATAAACAGATCAGCAGATAGCCTTTTTAAACAAAATCAAATTATGTCAATATAAGGAGGGTATTGGATAAGAATGTATTGAATAAAGGTAAGAAAGCGTATGTGTGATGGATTGTAACTAACTTGTGTGCACGTAGAACCGACCTTTCCGTTTGGCCGGCCGTAGCACGTGAAGGGCGCTGATCCAGTCAGGATTGACTCTTGAACTCAGTGTAAAAAGCACTTCGAGGCTGAACGGATCCATAACTAGAACTTCCGGATAGTATCTGAAGTATAGTAATAACGAGGTGTTATCAAATAATTAATACAGTCGGAATCAATGTTTTTCATCTATCTGAATATGTGGCATACCCAGAACAGAATAGTCTGACATTCTCTCCACCGGCAGATACATAGGGCAACATCTGGGTATGAATGTTATTCAGTTTGACAGCCTCTCTGCATTTTCCATCGACTAGATCCCAGGTGCACATTTCGCCACTCTCACTACTGCTAACAATATAATTCTGCTCCATGATCACACTGGCACGACTAAGGCACATTATAGGTGCGGTGTGTCCAACAAGTAAACACCTTGGAGTCATCTAAAGAGAAAATATTCTTATCAGCTTTTGACATAAAAAGATCTCATTATTTAGGAAACAACTCAAAAACTGATATTACCTTTAATGTTTCTGGATCCACCTGCCATAAGCAGATCTGTCCATCGTAGCATCCTGTCACTAAAGTCTTCTGATCACGGGACAGATAAACACAGGAGATGCAGTGAGTGGGTGCTATTCGGCCCCACAACACTATGGGTACTACTAAACTGGTGCCAACCGTCATTTTTGATCAATCTAAAATTATTAAGAAAAAATGTTCTGTGTTGTGTCTAGATGTTATTGAGTAACTTAATTCTTGCATGTAGTTACATTTGGTTATATATTCAGATAACATGTAATACAAATGATAGAATTTGATTGTTTGTGGAAACATGATATTAATATTATCATTAGTAATCATACTTTGCTAAACTTATTCATGTTTAAATTCCCCTAGAAATACTTGGAACTATAAATTAGTAAGTCTGCCTCCAAGTCATTCTAATAAGGCCTAATATGAAATTGTACTATTGCTTTAATTAAATAAATGAACTGAAGTAGTACAATTTACATAATTTACACATAAGATATTTTACTCACGTTTTATGACCAGTTTAATCACCTTCAATTATTGATATGACTAAATAAAAATAGAGTCAAGTACAGATACATAGAATGCTAGGCTTGTGCAGAATTATCTAAAGAGCAGAATAGACACTATCTTTTATCAAATTGGCTTATTTGTCAGATAAAGGCAAACGCAAGATGGCTAATGTAGTTTTATGTTGTAAACTGTGTACCAAAATTAGATCTGATACGCATAAACATTAGACAGCAGTTTATTGGTATAACGACAATGTTTATATGATTATATTTTTAACTTGGACAATAATGGGATCATCAATAATATTCCACTGTGCTAAATAGTATATAGATAAGCAGTTGCAACTATAATGTTGTTTGTATTTTAAAATTCTTATGAACGTAATGTAAATACAAAAAAGTACAAAGTAGATCACATGTTCCAGGCACATGCGCAGGTATAAAAATAAGTGTCACACACAATGCAGAGAATGGAAATTATTACAATTGCAATGTATAGACAATGAGCACACTTGTTAAGAACTTAAAGACCTTGGAAATCAATTTAAATAAAATTGACCTGATATATGCAGGATAAAATTATACGCCCCAACGATAAATCTTGCAATAAATAAGAAATATCTTATTTCACAAATATCGCGACACTGAAAATCATCATGTGATAAAAAGATGATCACGTATTATCTGAAAGACCTGAGTAAATAGGTTTGAGTAAAATTTGTTTAGTCCGACAATTAATTGAGTTAGACTCGACAGAAAAATAAAGTTAACAGAGCCATAAATTACTCGAAATTGAAAATAGCAGCGACAGAAAGAACTGTCAGTAAAATGATATAGAGGAACAAATATTTCGCAATTCGAAGTATGACCATCCGAAATATTGATTGAGAATTAGAGATCATGGGGATTTCTTGTGTTCGTATAATGCATATTAATTAAAAATTAATCAAAATGTGAAAAAATGATTAAAATCAATTTAATAAAAGCGTCTGCTATATCACTCGACATGTCACTGACAGACTCAGTCCGCAAAGTATTCGACACTGTTCTTACAAATTGCTACTCCTATGTAACGTATGTTCAAGCTTGTTACATATAAGATCATTACCTCGATCGGTGAGCGGCTACGGCGACTGTTTCGTAGGCTAGGTCTGCCTGATTTTCAGGAAAATCTTTCAGTTTTCACTATGCTCTTGTCCCTGCAGCCATGTTGGAGTGGAGTAGGCAATCAGCTGTTTTCTTTTACGAATGCGCATCAAGTACTGCACAAAATGTATTCGAAATAACGACTTGAACCTGTATTAAAAGCCATTTTGTATCTCCTAAGTCACACGTATAAAATACTTGTAGAAAATTATACAGATGGATTATTAATTGATGATATCTGCTAAAATCATTATCTGTGTAATTGTGAATATACATAAATATGCTGCATCAGCGGTACGTATAATGTGCAAAGTTTTGCGCAATGTACGACATTAGAATAACACATTCTGTACGGTACGCGGCGCTGTAATCGAACATTGTGGTAAGCACAAACTCTCTGTGCACGTTTGTTGCACAATTATTTGTATTTATAATTATAGATCACTTCTTGTGGCATTATTAAAGCTGTCAGAGATCACCTTTGATATTTTTGCAAAAGAAACTGATCGTGCTGTTAGTTGTTAAAGTATATTAATTTTTCATAACCTAAACAGATAATACAACGTACTGTGCATTTTACGTTGTTTTTATTTTTGACAAAACTCTCTGGGGCTGCGTACATGCAATATTGTACAGTAAAAGCCACGAACTCTGTATCCTTCCTTTATCGTATTTTTATTGCATAATACAACATCCTTAAATGTCTAACTATATTAATGAGTTAATTGTTTAAGTACAGAGTTATGACAGGGTTATATTTATTGTGCAATGTATAATTTATAAAGAATAGAATCCTAAACAAGTATATTAGTGCTCCATTTTAATTCAGTACGATGAAATGTCACTATGAGGTGCTAGGTGTAGCCCGTAATGCTACAGAAGATGACATTAAGAAATCTTATAGAAAATTAGCCCTCAGATGGCATCCTGATAAAAATCTCAGTAATCCTGATGAAGCCAAAGAACAGTTTCAATTGGTCCAACAAGCATGGGAAGTCTTAAGTGATCCACATGAACGAGCATGGTATGACAACCATCGTGATGCAATTTTGAAAGGAGGGATTGATGATAATTATAAGGATGACTCGATAGATTTGTTCCAATACTTTTCTTCTGGATGCTTTAAAGGATATGGTGATGATGACAAGGGTTTCTACACAGTTTACAGAACAGTATTTGAAAAACTAGCAGCGGAAGATGCTGAATTTTCTAAAGAAGGAGATTCAGATGAGGAAGTGCCAGGATTTGGGGATTCTACGAGTTCTTACGAAGATGTAGTTCATCAGTTCTATAGTTATTGGCAAAGTTATAGTACTAAACGTTCCTTTGCTTGGCTGGATCCATATGACATTCGTGATACTCCAAATAGAAGAGTTTTAAGACTTGTTGAGAAGGAAAACAAGAAAGTACGTGATAAAGCTAAACGTGAAAGAAACGAGCAAGTAAGGAACCTTGTAGCGTTTGTACGCAAACGTGACAAACGAGTACAAGCGCATGCTCAAAAGCTTGCAGAAAAAGCTAAAGAGAATGCTAAGAAGGCCCAGGAACGAAAACGACAGCAGCTACTGGAAAGACAGAAACAAATAAAAAATTCTTTAGTCTCTGAGTGGTCAACATTTTCCAATATTGAAACGGAACTGAAAGCTATCGAGGCAAATCTAGCTGCTGAGTTTGGTGAGGAGCTTTCTTCAGATAGTGATATTAACAACGATGATGAGATTGAGGATACAAATACGTTGTATTGTGTTGCATGTAATAAAATCTTCAAGACTCACAAGGCTTTTACGAATCATGAGAATTCAAAAAAGCACAAAGAGAACTTGGCCGCCATGAAGTCTTCCATGGTAAAGGATGATGAAGAATTCCAGAGTAATTCTGAAGAACATGATTCAGATTCAAAATCCGAATCAAAGGAAAAAGCTATGGAGGACCTGAAAGCCCAAGGTGTTAAACTGGCAACAGATCATGGAATTCCTGATTTTCTAATGTATCCTCAAAATGAACCATCTAATAACGATGATATCGTTACATCCGATGAAGAGAAAGTGTCTGATCCAGACTCTGATGTAATAACGGAACAAACTGAAACCGCAGGTCCTGTATTAGTAAATCCTAAATTAATGAAATCATTAAATGGAAAGAGTGAAAGGGATTCTGATGAAGAACTACTCTCGGATGAGGAAGAAGAGAAATATGTTAAGAAATCTAAAAAGCAAAAGAAAAAGAAAGGTAAAAATATACAAAAAGCAGTTGTCGAACATGATACCGATGAAGAACAAGACTTGGCTGATTTGGATATGGGATTATCAAAAAAACAGCGAAAAAAACAACAGCAACAAAAGGTGGCTTTGGATAGAATTAAGCAAAACGATCAAGAAAAGGCAGTAAAAAAAATGGAAGATATACAAGATGAGGATGACGATGATGAGAAAGTTCATGAAAACTTTAAAGCAAATGATGATGACAATAGGGGTTCTGAAAATTCTCATACTGATGGAATCATTTTGGAAAAAAGCAAAGGGAAGAAAGCAAAGGAAGCAAGAAGAGCACAGAAAAATTCTGGAGAAAATAAAGGAAAGCTAGAGAAGAATAAAAAGGACATCAATATAGAAGAAATCCGAGATGTGGAACATTGTTGCGTAACATGTAAAACTGAATTTTCTAGTAAAAACAAACTTTTTGAACATCTGAAAAAAACGGGACATTCTGTATATCTACCAAGTTCTACAAAATCCAAGAAAATCGTTGAAAAATCTACCAGACGAAAAGGAAAGCTAGAGAAAAGTAGTAATTAAAATACGGCACAGTGTAATTACTAGTTGTAATGAGAAACCTCGTGTAATTTATTATAACCGAATAGTTATTTGCAATTTTTACTTAATAAATAATGTACACTATATAATTCTGAAACAAATAGGTAAGTGCCGTCCGATATCGTATAAACAAACCATATATGAATCCGGTCTGCGCTTATGTATTTAGTATCTTCTTTTTCTTCCTAAGAATATTTTTCACAACATCAATCTCTATCAATAATTTTTCTTACAAATAGTCATCAATTCCTATTTCTTCTATATTTCCAGATTATTATTCAAATTTGACAGACTCACCAAGTTCTGTAACAAAAGGAATATGAATGTTATCCACTACGCAGCAACTCATAGGTGAGATAATCTATTAAACACCAAAAAATATGCATTATTCATTTCATACACTGAAAAAATGTTCTAGATATTAAAAGACTCGCTAAGAAGATAGGCTCTACCTTATTGGGAGCTGCAATACAGTATGTTCATCAATGTCAAAAATATATGTTGAAATTAAAATATTAATTTTGCAACTTAATTATTACAATCCAAAAGCGTGTACAATTGCAGTCTCCTGTTTTTAAATTGCTGGATAAAATACTGAAATATTAAGTTTTGTTTTCATACAATTCAGAGCACGTCGTATACAATAACGTTATGACAAAATAGACACAAATTTGTACTTATTGACTATGTATTTCATTGTAGTAATAGAACCAGTTCTATGGCTGCTCAAAAGCTGGTGTATCCTGCAGCAGACCGCAACAAGGAACCTATTTTATCTGTATTAAGACAATACATTCGAAGAGGATCGAATCAAAGTTTTTTAGAAATTGCTTCCGGTTCCGGTCAACATGTCGCATACTTTGCACCGCACTTTCCACAAGTAACATTTTATCCATCCGAATACGATGTTAAATTACTTGAAAGTATCTCAGCTCATTCCAATGGTATGCCTAATATTGAACCACCAATTAAAATCGATATCACAAAAGAGTTATATACCTGGGGAAATGGAACATTTAAAGAAAATAGTTTTGATTATATTTACAATGCAAATATGATGCATATTATGCCTTATGCAGGTACCATTGGCCTTTTTGAAAATTCTGGAAAACTTTTGAAATCCGATGGGTTACTGTTTACTTATGGTCCTTATGCAATCAATGGGAAAATTACACCCGAAAGTAATGTTAATTTTGACAAAACTTTGAAAATGCAAGATCCTGAATGGGGTCTGCGAGATGTTAAGCAATTGGAAAAATTGGCCAAAGAAAATGGAATACAGTTGGTAGAGATGGTAGATATGCCTGCTAATAATAAGACCATTATTTGGAAAAAATATTGATTTATCATTGATGATTCTGAGGATATGCAACTTGAAATTATTAATTTTGTTCTTCAACAATTTAGAAGCTTGAGCATTGACATGCATAATATATTTATAAAAAGAATATTAATCAGTATTTAAAGATAAAAAGAAAACTTCAATTATATTTATTCCTGATGTCGCACATCTTTTACATCACGCGTAGGTCACACATACTTAATCAGACATAAATTGCAATGTAACTTTGTAACGGGTAGAGATTTTTAAACTTAATTATAAAGAAACCAAAATTTCGTAGTATAAAGAGCATGTCTAAAATGAAATGTAGTAAAAAAAATCATTTATTCCAAAGTTTCATACTTCAGAAGAAAACGTCTCACGGAGAAAAACCGAAAAATTAGGGAACCGTATGTGTCACTTAAGAACATATGTAATAGTTTAAGGAGAACATTATTTTAATTGTAATTGTATATAATCAAAATTATGTATTTTAAGTATACTCCTTTGCAATAATAAAAATTATATACTCTTTTTAAATTTTAATAAAAATCATTTCTATGTCATTAGTAATCTCTTATTTTCTTTACATGATTTACTAGATTTATAAATCCAAAATGGTGTATGCATTACCTTTATCAATGATTGCTATCATGTCATGTATTGATATTATAGATAGATTCTCTTATCAGTGGCAATAGCAGTTCTTCAAGTAACGCATTTGTATTTGACGTGATAATTTATCTCAAAAATATTAAATATCCCATAACATCTATATAGAGTTGTCACTATGGATTATACAATTATCATTGTTTTCTTGTCATTCGTTATGGGAGTAGTATCTGAAACAGAAATACTATGCACTACCAGTTATTGCACGGTAAGGAATGTGTTTTGACAGTAAAAATCAGATGTTACTACTCAGATGCGATTGTGCAAAAATTATTGTTCTGCATTAAAGAAATATATTAATTAGTATCAATATAATTTGCTTTATTGAATTTTATATTGGGAAGTCATACATTACCGAGTATGGTTGCAATTCTCTATATGGAGCATGCCGTGCTATGAATTCTACATATCATGGAACATATCTTCCCTATCCTGCTGCCTGTAATTGCTGTGATTATTGTCTTCAAAGCCTGAATGAAGGTGAAATTTGTGTAGAAGGTTTACCCGGGATGTTACCTCCTGCAGAAATGTGTGGATTAGGATTATATTGCACTGCCAATGAGAATAATCCAGCTACATGTCAACAATGTAAGTGGTTAAATAATTAAAAAATGCAATAAATAAACATAAAAGTTTCAAACTTTATTTAGTGGTTAGTCATTGCACCAATGCTCAAGATGAATATGATGAACGTGCAGCAAATGGAACTTTGGGCAGTATGGAAGTTCGACCACTTTGTGATGGCGAAGGAGATTTCATGCCAGCACATTGCATTCCTGGATCCATGTAAGATAATAAGTGACAACATTACCTTTATGATAATTAATAATTAAACTGATTTTTATAGATGCTATTGCGTCTCACCATATGGTGATAGAATATTTGGAGAAATTCCATATAAAAATCCATGGGATGTGGAACAAATGACCTGTGGTAATTCGGTATATTAATTAATGATTTATCACAGTTCACATTACAATTTGAAATTTTTGTACAGAATGCTCATTGAATGCTTGGAAAGCTCAAAACACTTTAGATCCAAATTATACAGTCCATGTAGCTAGGTGCCTCAGTAATGGACTTTTTGATCCATTACAATGTATGAATGGACCTAATGGTACTTGTTTATGTGTCGATTCTTTCACTGGATCTCCTAGAATTGGTATATCTACTGTCACAGTACTGGAACTTGCAGAAGACAGTCCAACTTGTTGTGAGTACTCTCAATCAACAGATTATAGTAAAACTGCAGTTATTCAAACTGGAGAGTTACAGTGACATGTTTTGTGCACAACACGTTTTTTTTTAGTTGACCCAACAATACATACAAATGGAACGTATGACACAGACTGCGAGGAACAGTATAATACAATTTTGGCCGCAATTGACAGTTATGTTGCAGAAGGCAATACTAATCATGGTCTTGCACTACCGTCTTGTCAACCAGATGGAAGATATGCTAGAGTTCAAATTTCCGGTTCTAAGTAAATATAGAAATATCAAATATTTCCGCTATCCTTGTATCTTAATGTACTTTTGAATTGTAGGAAAATTTGTGTTGATCCGTCTGGAAATCAAATAGAGTCTTATGAAGCATTTACAAATTCAACAGCAGCTGATATAATGGATTGTAGTATGTTTGTATATAAAAATTATAATTCCAATGATTCCAATTCAAATATTCAACTGTTATGTATTCCAATATTTAACCGTTATGTATTTCTAGATTGCGCAAGAACTCGCTGGTTATTGAAACAAGCAGGAGTGGTGGAATTACCCAGTTGTTGTAATTTTGGAAATTTTGAGGCTTGGCAATGGCGACGAAATGAAACATTTTGCGTAGATGTAAATGGAGATCAAATCGGTCGAGAAGTACCCTCTCAAAACGTAGCTACTCTGGCATGTTACCAAACGAACATTGGAGACCCTTGTTTAGTTTGAAGAAAATTCTGCAGCCTACCTTGTTTTGAGGTTCGTAATTTTTCATTTCACGTAACACCTTTTGTAAATAATTGTTATTATTTCATTTCTTTAACTGTTTATTATACACTTGAATAATAATTTGGATTTATTATTTAATTAGAGTGATACTCAACTTCAATAAATACACTCGATTAATCGTGTCAATCTTAAGTATGTACAAGTGACACTAATTGTAAGAATTGCAAGCTATATATACAAGTCTTTGTGAAAGAAAATTTAAATTATAAATCTTCCTAATAAATTAAACAATGAGATAATTAATAATAATGTAACAGTTAAATCGGAAATCTGAGTGGTCCCTGTGCTTTTATACCAATGCGCAAATAGGGCTGAAACAGAAGTAAGAATTTCTAAGATTATAAAGTACACTTTGACTCTTGTATAAAGTATTGTTTTAAACATTAAGTTATTGTATTCTGATCTATACAAACCTGTATCTTCATGATTAGTGATCCATCCAATAGCAGGCTCCATTTGATTTTGTCTTTTGAGCCATACATTCAGTGGTTCAAAATATCTTAACATTGCGCTTGCGTCTATCCGGTTTGTTTTACCTCTAGTTAATTCTCTAATAACATCTTTCCAGTTTCTCGAAGCACCCACAGACAATACGTCGCTGTAGATAACAATTATCTTATATAATTTTAATATTTATGAATTTAATATTCGTACAATTAAATACGCACGAGAGTAATCTTCCTGCTTCTCTTGAGTTGTAAATGTCGCACGTATGTAATTCGCCAATATGGCCGGAAATTTCACACAAGGATTCGTATAATTGAAATTGCATTACAACGCCGACGAAATATCTGTAAAATAGAGCATGAAGAATTTTTGGCAATTTTATGCAAAAGTTTTTCTCCCTGTTTTACTTACTTAGCATAAGGTATGTCGGCGGGGACATGATACTTGGATGCTGGATCAAAATCTCTTTCTGATCTTGATATTGGTGGTACTATTCCTTGATATTGCAATCTTAATTCCCACCATCTCGTTGTCATATCTGCCACACCATCACTGAAAACCCTCCATCTCCACTGAGATGTTAATTATAATTAAATTATAGAACATTTCAGATTCATCTCAAACGTTCTTCAAGCTTACCTGATCTACTATGTAAGCAAAGGGCATGTAAGTTACTTTCTGCAGAGCCATTAGCATTAGAAAATTAATATTCATCTCGTAATCATCTGTGGAATTATTATAAAGTCCAATGTCGTGCAGATGCTTAGGTGTAAAAACCGATAAACCTATAGCGTCACTGACTGCTTCATGAAAACCTAATTTTCAAGTATACAGAATATTATAGTATATCTAATAAACTATTTAACAAATAGGTTACAAAATATGAACCTGGTAGAGCTTCTTGTCGAAACAATAATGGCTGATCTTTATACTGTAAATAATATTGCAAGTGTGACATTTCATGATGAGTGGATAAGAAATCCTCCATTGTAACTTTGGTGCACTGTTTAATTCTAAAAGTGTAAATATAAAAGTTTAAGATTAATATGAAAGTTTAAAGAAGAAGGTATCAGACTGTAGATACCTGTAATCAATTCTATTACAAAAATCCCAAGCACTGGCTGTACATTTGATCTCTCTGTCAATAGGTTTTTCGAAAATAGAGTATCTCCAAAATTCTGGTGGCATAGGCTTCATTCCCATAGAGGTAAAGAATTTCTGTGCATCCTGAAACATCCTATGGGACTCCAATTAATAATCAGAGAGTAATTTCATTATTAAAAATCCTACCTTAATGGCGTGTATCCTTCCAGTATCATATCTAAAGTAACGTCTAACTTTCGGGCAGCAGGAAATGGCTGTACGATATCATAAATCCCTTCCCAATTTTGAGCCCACATATTTCCTAGTATATGAGCCGGTAATGGACCATCCCTTCTAATCTTATCACCATAACGTTCAATAAGTTTAGTTCGTACATAAGTAAATAAATTCTTGTACAATGGCGTAATGGCCGAAATAGCCTCAGCTATGTTTTGTTGAAAATAATCATCCTCAAAAGCTTCTCTCATCTGATCTCCAGCATCAGCAAATCCTGTACCAAAAAACTGTATCCAGAATATCTACAAATTATAAAAAAAATACAATTTTTATAACTAATTATACCGTTTAAACGTGCTGCTTGATTAGCCAGTTGCACGTATCTCATATATTTATTTTTTAATGGCGGCCCGACAGCTTCGTGCCAAGATCTCCAATAATACAGCAGTTCATCATAATTTTTGGATTGCGCCATGACTTTACTGACTTCTATAAATAAATTATTCATTCAGTAACAGTTCAATGCTTAGCATATTTACCATTAATTATACTTGCCATTATCCAAACTGAAGTTGCAAGTACTACCCATTTTTTTGTATGGACATAATCTGGTTCTAGTATACAATTCTTTCATTTCTGCTATCAAGTGATGTATCTGTCAATAAAAAATTGTTATTAGACTTCCAGTACATCTGTAAAGAATTGAAAAAGTGTAAAAATGATTTACCTCATTGAATTTATCATCGGTCAAAGAACTTCTTCCTCGTACAGCTATCATTTTAAGTTGTCTTCTAGTTAATGGATCGGGAACTCGACTCCAAGCAAAGCTAACAGCTTTGCGCCAGGATGCTCTGTCAAATTTCATTTTTCGTGTTTGCTCCTCCAACTGTCAATAATTATGTTATGCAACAACAATCGTCTTGGAGAACCCTAATTTATTTACCATTTTTCGACGATTCAAGTCAGTGATATTAGTTGCAAAATTCCATTGTGCATTGGTCACTGCATTACACATGATAGATGCTTCTCTATCGTATTCACGTAAAAATTGAAGAGCTTTTCCCAGATTGACATTGAGTCCCTATGAAGAAGACAGGAATATAATATTTTTAATTAATTGCAAAAAATAATCGAACTTGTCCCATGTTCCCACTAGCCTACATATTATGTATGTGCAGTGTATAAAGAGGAAATAATTAGAATTTTAAATGCTATTCGTTGGGCCTAACCCACTATACAGAACAATGAAAGTTTTGCCAAGCATGTCTGAGGATGGAATCGTGTATCAAACTGTATTATCTACTACGAAACACCGTTATATTTTTTTTTACTAGAAATAATTTAGTGCTACGTGTACCAAGGAAAGTGAATTAAAAAAATAATTAAATCATTCCCTTACCTCCAAGTATCGTGCATGACATCCTATTAGGAGAGATGCAATTGGTAATATTGCAAGAGTGATTACTGAACTCTCCCTCATCTTTAAATTTTGTTTTGTTTTGACACAGATTTTTTCTATTTATGTCGTAAAAAAAAAATTACTAAAAAATAGGAAATGACAATTTCACTAAGGGATACAATTATCAACGGTACTTCGTTAGAACCAGTACAGTTAGTCTGAAATACTCAGTTGATCGACGCATGACCGAAAACAGGAAACTGTCTAACAGTTAATGAACGCATCAGCGAACATTCTATTTGAGTATTAAAAAAAAATAACAGATCGAACTTTACTTAAAACACCACGAAATTAAATTTTCGCGCATATTTCCATCTTTTATTGCGTTATTTCGACAATTTGTTTACATCCACAGTTGCCCAGTACAAAACCAAAACATACACCTGAAGCTTGTTTGCTGAATGATTTTATAAAAATTCCCCAAAAAAATCCAGTCCCAAAAATTGACAGTTTCACGAAATTTCAGTTTATATGTAATATTTTATTTTTATATAATTTTAATCGCACAACCAATTCCACTATGTCGTTCGTCCACTGTATACGAATTATCTGTATCTTCGTGTTCCTCGTGAAAGACGAACTCGCCCCGTTTCGAAATACAAGAACAAACTGAATCACGCGCGTTACAGTTTTCTGTGATGCATAGTGAGTGAAAGAGGAAGGGACAGGCTTCGTCGGTGCGTGAAGCGTGACAACCTAGCACATCATGGCACACGCCAAAATCTTTAACATTAAGGATTGCAATTGTGTAAGATATATGCTGTGTGACAATGGATAATTTTCTTGGACTTTTTGTTCATGGTCTTCCTCGGTGAGTACTTCCTTTCTCTAGGAAGACCTCGAAGAAACCGGATATACGCAGAACAACAATGCTAATACAGATTTAAGATGAATAGAATGCGACAATAAATTTTAAATTCGTAGAAAAATATTAATAGTGGTTTTTTGATTTAACTTTTTCAACAATGCTCACTTTTTAATTTTAATTTTAAAGAGTAATGACAGTTTGTTTATCAACTGAGAAGATGCGGAAATATACTATTTTATTGCGCTTCCTATTCTTGTCAGAGTTGACCGTAACGGCAATTATCTCGTAGCAATCTGTGACGGACCATACTGTAATTGCTCACTGTAATTGCGTCCACTCCTCTGACACGAGTATCGTGGCGTACGGATCTTATTCCGGCGACGCAATACACTTTGGAAATTCCTGACAGGCAAATGACGAAGGAAGGAAGCGATTTGACTGACTAAATATCTTATAGAAATTTTATGATATTTTAGCATCATATGAAATAGCATTTTTTTAAACTTTTGACAAAATCATATAGATTACTTGTATTTGTATAAAGCAGCGACATAAGTTGTCAATCATCGTTATTTTTCTAATACGCAATTAACACTGTCAGTACTTTTTTTAATGTCACTTTAATTTTTTATTATTCCAGTCACCATTTCCGAACTTGAACACGTCGATTTCCGGTTTAACTTTCTCGTACAAGTGTGGAAAGGCGTTATCAGCCTTGTACAATTTTCTCACCTTCTCGTACAAACTCAAATCAAACATTTCCTCGAATTCTTCTTTGGTCATAAAAATGTCAGCGTAAAGAAAACTGAAGCCTCCAACGTCCCTCGTAAACTTTTCCATTTTCCTCATGGCCGATACAGGATCGTACGGTGTCTTGCTTTTCACTTGTCCTGGCACTCCATAAATACCAAGATCGTTGTACATGGCGTAGTTTGTACCGGAAACCAAGTACTTCTTGTCCGGCGACGGAACTTGACCGGAACCTTTGCCACGAGCGTAAACACGACATGGATAAACCAAAAGGGGAAAAGTTTGGAAAAGGTCCACAGCCGTGTCGACTTGTCTTTCCAGTTCGCTGATTGGTAAAACTATGTCTTGAAAAACCTGAAACCCAAAAATATGGAGCATTTAAATATTCCTATCAATCATTCCTATCATAAAATATGACCAGCTCACCTGTTTTGTGAAAGTATATTCTCGAACACCAGGAGTTGTGGTCCATTTTAAAAAAGCAGGTTTTGGTGGCAATAACCATCCCAACGGATATCGAAACCACCATTTGTTACCAGCTGGTAACATGTCTTGCACTACCCAGAATATTGATCTGTTGTGTCTCAATAGATAATCTCTCAATGGTATCAATTCCTGATAAGGACCAGATTCTAAAAATTGTCTGGTGTATTCATAGAACCAGGGCTTGTACCATCTTGCACAGTTGTTAATTGGTCTGAAGAAGAAAATTTCAAGAAATAAATAAAACAAATTCAATCATCAATATCAGTAGTGACACTTACAAATTTGGATCATTTTCAGAAAAATCACCACACATGAGAACTGCTTCCGTTTTACTAAATATTGTCAATTCGACAAAATCTGGTATATCCTGCTTCTCGCCATTTGCTCCTGAAGCATCTCTTACAGCATGACAATAATTTTTTTGACCTATTACTGGTGCATAGGTCAATTTTACATAGGGTTTAACCTTTATTATTTCAAGTTCAAGTGCTACCAGGAAACCCAGAGAACCATGTGACCATGGCAAAGTTGCATAAAGATCTTTATTTTCTGTTTTGGTGGCTTTCACTAAACTCCCATCGCCTAGGATTACCTAAAACGATATTAAATGTAGGTCATCTAATTAAATTAATCAAAGAATATAATTTCGTAATGTACCTCGTAAGATTTAATGGTTTCTTGATACAAGCCAGCCTTGTGAGAATGGGTAGTCATTCCAGTACCTATAGCAAGACCTCCTAATGTGGCATCTTTGATTTCCAATGTTACAGCTAGCGTGTAACCGCGTGGGATTAGATAATTCGTTATTTCACCAACTGTTACCATTGGTTCTACTTTGACTGTCATTTTCTCTTCATTCAAATGCAGAATGTCGTACAAGGGTATAGGTATCCTTTCACAGAGATCCTAAATTAATATAGAATAGAAATTGTCGAATAATTAAAAAAAAAAAATTATTCATTAAACTTGACGTTTAATCACCTTTCTAAAAAATGTTGTGCTAAGTGACAGCCAATTAGGACGAGCGGTGCACAAAAGTTTTCTCTGTGCTTGAGGCTGTTCAGCCCATTTTTGTACTTGTCTCTGTATAACCTTAACTTTCTCATCGTGTTTCTGGCTCGAGTAAAAAAGTTCACGATATATCCAAATATAAATTCCAAGAACTTTATCAAAAATGTAACTAGCAGGTAGGCAGAAGAATAGAACAACTAAAGAACGATTATCTTCTAGCCATTTTATGATACTGTTTTTTAAAGCATCCATTTTTTGCTCGAATCCTGAAAATATATTAATTATCAGATGCAAAGTCGTAAATAGATTATATTGAAACTGTTTCTTGTATATTCAAGATATTAAAGTAACGTATAAATGTTGGCTACTTACTTTATTCTTTTGCGACACCACACTCTGCCTAGCCGTGCCTAGGGCATTCAACTGTATCTAGTAGATTTACCGGGCTTGATCAGACAGCGGAGAAGCCTGGTTTACACTGGCCTATTATTTTATCTTCTCGATATTATCTAACCAGTCAAATTAATTAAGGAAATCTCTGATATTTTTGTAGAATAAAAATTTGTCTCTATGTGATATGGGCTTTATCGGATTAGGAGACTAGTTCGCTCTTTGATAATCTAATTATTCGTAGATATATTGATTTCTATCAGCTTTTGGTCTAAACAGTATCTCAGTGTAAGTCGGGCCGATATCAAAGCCAGTGCACATCACATGTATACATATGTTCTTGGCAGCTAGATATGAGATTAATAAAGTTCTTTTTAAAAGGAAAATATCTAAAGAATTTTGTCTATTATTTATTCCACGTAAGTCATAGGTTCAGTTTTATCTTCTGCTCTGACTTTTTTTTAGTATTTTAGTTTAAATGTAATCTTGTGTGATTCTCCTTATTGGTTCATGTATCACTTGTTTGGTTGCAACTTGTTTCATTTCCTTTTTACACGATTTAATGGCGACTTGCTGAATTTGTCTGTGTCTGTCAAGACGTTTATATGTTTTTTTCATTTCCCGCAACTCAGCCTGAATTTTAACAAATTCAAGAACATCGGGAGCCTGTGTAAACGTATTAGAATTTAGATATTTTTGGAATTTACATATCAAAATGTTATTTAATGATTTTGTCCTTACTGTATATTCGTCTATTAGCTGTATGATGACAGCCAATTGTTTACTAGCCTCATTCACTTCATGTTCAGTAGTTTTTTGAAGACTTTCTAATTTTTCTATTTGGTTTTGTTTTTGGCTAATTCCTCTTCTTATTTGTGTAACCGTAAAAAATTGGTCTTTAAGCTTTTGTTTGCGATTTGTCAATTCCAAACTGTAGCGACCTGCGTTTCAGTAATTGATAAAAATTCAAATTAATGTTTATTCTGAACAATGCTCATACGAAACAATTTTTCCTTAAATATACATGATCTCTACCTGTAATCTTCTTCATTTCCAACAAGTAGCGATTCTTCTCTTCGATCTTCTTTACATAATCCTGATTCTGTATAGCCAATTGTTCAAAATCAATAGCGTGAAGAGTTTTACCAAGTTCTTCCCGTTGGATCAATTCTTGCTTAGCTTTTTTTATTTGCATTATCAGATTAGAACTTTTCAGTCTAAGTTTCTCAATCATACTATCAGCAGCCTTAAACCATTCTTCCATGAATCTCTCCCAAAAATAAGAAAACATTCATAACTCAAAATAGACTAAATTTTGATGAAAGTTCACAAAAACCACTTCCAGTTGATACCTCATAAATCTTTCAGCTGGAATTTTACCAGTCAATGGATCCACACCACGTTTTACCAATTTCTCTTCGAGTTCTACTCTAGCCTCGTTCGTCTCCCTGATCCGAAGTTCAATTTCTTCCGTTCTTGCTCTTAAATCCATTCTCGTTTTAGCAGCAAGTTTTTCCAAATCCACCAAAGACTTTTTCATTTCATCAATTTCCTTGTTCGTCATTTCTATTCGGTGATTCAACGTGATCCTATTAGATAAATAATTAAATTATCAACTCGTATTGTTATTATTAAATTAATTAACCTTACTTGATTCCTCGTGTCGGTGCAATGGGTTGAGTATATCGTATACTTTCGGGTGGACCACTACTGATAGTTGGCGAACCAATTGTTCCTCTAGGGATGCTGAAACCAGTAACACTTCCGGATAAACTCATAGCAGAAGAGATCGGATGAATCTGCGACGCTAGTCTTTGCCTTTGTCTAGCAGATTCCAATACTTGAGTCATTGCTGGTCCAAAAAATAATTAACAGGGTTATCAATTAAATTTATATAAATTTGTATTATGTTTACTTACTTTGAAGACACTGAGGATCGTGACGTGTTAAATAACGTTCAAATATGTCATTCTCTAATTGTAGCATCCGATTCGTGCGAATTGTCTGCTCTAAAGATTGTCGTAGCTCCTCGTCGGACATTTCTGAAAATTGTCTAATTAATGAAAATAATGAAAAAATCAATGCAATATTTTATTTTCAATTTACCATCGTAATTCGACTCTTCCTCTTGCGGAGCAAAGGTCACGCGAGATCCGATGGTCATGACGCTTCCTCTTCGTAACGATGACATTTTTAATAACTATTGAACAATTCTAATTTAAATTATCTTAAATCCAGGAATTTGTATTAACGGGGTATTGCAAGAGCTGCTTCTAAGTGGAAAATAGAAAACAGCGTGACAGTTGCGCTGTGAAGGAATCTCACTTCCATCGTATTTATCGATCCGTTTGTTTCGTCGATAATTTCAGGCGCTTTGAATATTTTGGATTGTTCATATAGTACAGAGAATAAAATCTTCTTCGATTTTACTAAACTTTATTAATTATTGACATATCGAGTATAGCTAATTTGTACTGATTTTATTATTTGGCAGTTGCTGTAGGAAATAATTCTTGCTCTTTGACTTCTACGCCATCCAAATATAAAACGTAATTGATTCCAACATTTTTCTGACCCGAACTACAAGATCTTATGACAGCCGGTACTCCGCCTATTGTGAACATCATCTCCGCACCACCATCCACGAATTCGTTCTAAAAAAATAATATTTCATTAAAGAAGCATTACCACGTTTCAGTTTATAAAAAATAAATTCTTACTTCGACATCTACTTCTTTTCCATTGACCCACACAGCCTGAGTATTCTTATCTAAATAACAAGTAAATTAGTATAATCTACATCTTATGGAACCACGTTAAAAATGGCCAAATATAGTAGTAGTAATAATAATAATAAAGACCTAGTACAACCCTGTATTGATTATCCCCAACACTAGTTAACCAAGGCTGCAATACCTTTGACTGAGACTGAACAAAATTCTTGTAGCTTTTGTTATTGACCCATAGCGTATAAGAATATTTAAGTCCTACAATTAAAACTTATTATAATTAACTAAACTATTAATTAAATTAATGAAACAAAATAATCACCTGGTATAGGATCAACTCTAATGACAAATTTGGTCCCAGCAAACATAATAACTTCATCTCCCACCAATCTGAACATCCAATCTCTGTGGACCAAAACTTTCCCATCTACCTTCACTATTCGTTTTCCAGTTGCTGTTCCATGTTCAAATTCCACCACATGGTTACCATCACTAAGTGGAACATTCCATCTGGCAGTAGATTCACTTCCAGACATTTCCAAAGCTTGCAGACTTCTGAAAATATCAATTATCAAAAATTATTCACATCATTGATATTTTTTAATCGGTCAGTTATTTTAGAGGCTGAACAAAAGCCAGATCGATTCACAGCTATAGTCACAGCCATACAGCTTGTTTAAATGAACGTTAAAGTAAGGTTTACGACTTATGGAAAATTCTTGTGACACGTATGCAATTATGTGAATTTGTTGTATTAGGTACACTTGTATTTACTGCCTTTGTAATACTATTTTACGTTACGTAGTTTGTGCCTTATTCACTTACCGCAGCAGGGTAATCGCCATAAAGCCCTGCTACCTGTTCCTGCTGTTTCTGTACTGTGCTGGTTATTGATTACAACTGCCAGGGACGGAAGTTTCAGATCGATATGTCATTACATTGTGGAATAGTCAGTGTCTGATACGTTATATATCATATGTTAGTTGAAACATATTGCAGATAATTAATTATTAGAATAAAATTATAGTATAACTGATATGTAACATCAGATTGCTCGTATTGATATTTTTTTATTATAGAAGTAAAAAGCCTATGTAGATCAAATAACAAAAGTATGGATATATAAAATATTTTTATATCAGCAAACTTGATTTGATTATTTTTTATGTATTTGTTTTTTGAGATAATCATTATCTTCAGGCTGGATGAGCTGGTAATAATTTTCCAGCACATGGACCAAAACCAATCCTATATCCCTGTCCTAAGCAGTAACCTAGAATTTGAAGAAATCATTGAATGGAGTTGATTTAATTCTTTTTAATTAAATATATTATTCATTTATACCTCGGATAATAACTTCGTCGTTATCCTGAAGGAATTTTCTTGTTGTACCGTCTTTCATCGGTATGGTTTTTGTTCCTTTCCAACATAATTCCAACATGCTTCCGTATGAGTTAGCTGTCTGAAATATTTAAAGATAAATAAAAAGAAAAATGTCAAAATTACTCATTAAGAAAATTGTGATCATCTACTAACGTCCCCACTTATTGTACCGGAAGCCATTAGATCGCCAGGGTTAATGTTACATCCGGTCACGGTATGATGGGCCAACTGTTGTTGAGGAGTCCAGTACATAAATTTGTAATTACTGCGAGTGATTGTTGTTACAACACCACCGGGAGCTAGAGAAAAATTTTGTAACACATTTTGGAGATCATTTCTTTCTGTGCAGCATATGACATACTTGATTTATTTTATCAATCTACTCACGCTTAATGTCGACTTCTAGGTGGATATCAAAATTGCAAGGCTCTTCGTGCTGAAGATAAGAAAATGGTTTTGGATCTTGGGGGTAATTAGGAACTTTGAAAGGTTCCAAAGCCTCCATAGTCACAATCCATGGTGAGATGGTGGTTCCCAAATTTTTAGAACCAAACGGTCCCAAAGGAACATATTCCCATTTTTGTATATCTCTTGCTAAACAGAGAATAGATTATAATGATTTTTATTTAATAAATGTATTACATTATATTTTACTATTTGTAGTATCTTACCACTCCAATCATTCATGGTGACCATTCCAAAAATATGAGCATAAGCTTTCTTTGCAGTGATGGTATCGCCTAAGTTAGTCGGTGGTCCACCAACAAAGATTGCCACTTCTAATTCAAAGTCCATTAGTCTAGATGGACAAAAGGCTGGTTCCGCTCCTTCAACTGGAAGTGTTTGACCCCAAGGTCGTCGAATTGGCGTACCGGAAACTACGACTGAACTTGCACGGCCGTGATATCCCACCGGTAGATATTTCCTATTAAAATTTAAATAAATGTTCATTCATTATACGTATTTTTAATTTAATAAATATTTTTCTTACCAGTTTGGCATCAATGCATTTTCCTCGCTGCGGAACATAATTCCAACATTTCTCGCATGATGAATTGATGAATAAAAATCAGTATAGTCGCCTATTTTAGCTGGTAGATGCATAGTAGCTGCTTTTTGCGAAACAAATGCCCTGTAAATAACTTTGATTAATTGACAGTTACATAAATTTAATTAATTAAAGATTCTTGAAAATACTTCAATTACTTTGATCGTATTTCGTTATGTTGAAGGGTAGAATTGTCAACAGATAAAAGATTTTGAAGGATGAGTCTAGCTTCAATCCATGCCGGTCTTCCCAAACTCATAAAATCATTCAGACAGTCTTGTTGAAAGACATTTTGATGTTTTTCCAAAAGCGGTCCATTGAACAGGTGAGAAATGGCGCTCAAATCCAAAATTTCGTCTCCAATGGCCACTCCTATTCGTTTCTTAGGCTGTATGATAAAATCATAAATATAACATTATTTTAGTCAATTACTGAGTATCAGAAACAGATAAGTTATCAGCTACACTGACGATTTACCGAGCGAGTAATTTTACCCAGTGCGTCAGATAAATTCTAATTTCCTCCAGATGGCAGCACATATTAGAGATAGGACGTAAGCAACACTTATATAATGATTGTGTAAAGCATCATAGTCACGAATACAAGAAATACACGATTATAACCTTAATTTTTATTTCCCCACAGCGCAAGTAAAACAATATAAATCATCGAAAATCTACCATCCCTTTGCGAATTGGAATTCCCATAAATGGCATTGACACGAGCAGATTAAAAACATTAAATCCACAAGAGAAAAAAGAAAACACAATCCATGCTACAAATTAAATAATTCTTTATTAAAGACAAAACTCACTCACGTTATCATTAGTAGAAAAGACGCCATAGGGCAAATTTTCAATAGGAAAATCGCAATCAGGTCCATACTCGACAAATGACTTCATGACGACGAAAGTCAGCTGTACTGATCGCAGAACGAAATACTTCTGCTTACCGAGGATTCTTTAGAAAGGCTATATAATCGCAGTCGGGAAGTTGCCGCCCGTTGAGAATTTACTCGGCAGCCTTGATGATAATTTATATACTTGTTTACAGGTCTTACGCTGGGACGAGCCTCCGGTTTGTCCAGAATCTGGTTTCGAGTTTTATTCTATCACGTTGTCAACCAGTGCTGTCATTGACCTGTACCACATTCATCATTACATATAGAGGGTAAGTAGCATGCTACACTATTGATATATCGATATAAAGATTAATGCGTCATGGGATAACTTTAGTTTATTAGACATTGATATACAGTGGGTTAGGTCTTTAATTATGATACAACATGATTACAGCACAACAAAAGCTTCGTCAAATCATTCCTTCGTGGTATCATTCCTCTATCACGCGATCATTGAATTCCTAAATCCCGGTATTTCACTCGTAAGATACACGGATACACATATATGAATAGTCGGAGCGACAGATACTATTGAGTAGAGGACAGTATAACACGAATCAAACGTTACGCGATAAGGATGGAGAATTAATTATCTAATTTGAATATGCACACACTCATCCACGCACGAGCACGCAACTCACTCTATTAATAATTGGAAGACATGAGACTTTGTTGTCTTACCTCGCGATCAATTTATCGCTTATGGGTTTAATTAGTGATAATGACGTCAAGGGAACCACTTGTGCACTTAATGGCATAATTATTAAGTATAAATAAACGATCGACGAAATTCGATGGTTTCTGCCAATTTTACCCGAAGTGTTTTTTTTTAATCTACGGAAAGTGAATGATTAATGTTTTTGTTAAATGATTTATCAATTGCGAAGAATAATGATTGTTAATACATATACAGTGAACAGTGCATTTTACAAGGTGTAAATGAACGGGTGCTATAATTAATGAGATAAGTGCAAATGAGCAATTGCGATAGTAATTTTTGTATTTTGATTTAATTAAAAGGTGCAATAATTTATATACAGAGTGATTTGCTATGGGCGTCATTTTGTGCAGAGTGCTAAATATATTATACTCACATGAATATTCGTTAAGTGCATTATGCACTTATGGTGCACTGTATTAAATAATACGACTATGCGCTCTCTGGCGGAAAAAATTGGCAGAAGACGTAATTGCGGCCTTTAAGCAGCCGATTCGAAACTATCATTTGATGATGTGAATGAATCTTTGTAAATAAAAAAACCAAGTCCCACATTAAAAATGATATATTCTCTTTAAAAATATATCATATTCGTCGCAATACCAATATATGTATGTATAACTAGAATATATTGAAAGAAACATTAAATAAATCCTCTTTAGATATACAACGCGACAATAGCCCTACATATACATATACTCTTATTTTCTTGTCTCCCTATATATTATGCATATCGATAAATAGAGGCAACATTAACAATAATTTACACTAATAAAATGTAGCTCTAATTTTCTCACAAAATTATATCGTTTAAGATAAAATAAATTACATGGTTATCATTTCTCTTGCGGCTATCAGTGACTTTTAAGCGTCTCCTCCTACTTTGGGTTTTGGCTTTTTTGCGTTCTTTCAAAAAATACGATTCTTGGACATTTTTTACTTTTATTTTAACTATGGGCGTACTCTCGTTTTGCGAACAATAGTTTGCAATTTCATGGTGTCTCGTTGGTGGACCGACCTTCGTTTTTTGGTTTTACGAAAACAAAAAAGAATCATTCTGTTCTTGCAGTTAAAGTATCGTTCGTTATTATGCAATTAAATCGATTTTTCAAGAAATTGTTTTTTTCCTTGTAAACTACCAAAGGAAAATAAAATGAGTACATTATACACATGTAAGTACATTTACATTCCTCTGTCATAGTTACATCTAGATTTATTAGCAATAATCCGTATTTAATACTAACTTTTAGATATACTGGCGAGTGCATCAACATTTTTCCGCATTGCTATATTTCTTTCGTTTCTTTTTTCCATACCAGTCGCGTCCATAGAAATTTCATCACGTAGAACCGACAATTTGGAATGACACAAAAAAGCAGAACATATCAGAGATAAATACTCTAGTCCCCTTTCCAAAATAAAAATTTGGAAATTTTTTTCAACACTGCCAATCAATCAGTTCCCCCGTGTTATTTCGTGAATGAAATAAAGACGCGACGCGATGGATCAAATTGAATACAGTTGATTGGAAATTGATAGAATTTCAAGAAAAGGTTAAATAACGAGAAAGAAAAAAAAGAAAAAGTCCCACATAAATACACGAAAAAGCACGTACTTTCATGGGTTTGTGTTTTTATACTTTAATATCTCAACGCTAAATATATGTATATATATAACTTTGATATTTATACTTATTTATATTATATTCAATTATATATTCTCTGCTTGGGCAAACATTTTTCAACAGCAAATAATATATGCACCTCAGTACGTACGCATGTACTGCCGTATATACTCAGTGATATATAGCAGTTGTATATTTCTTGTTATATCTTGGCAAACAATTAATAATAAATTCTTCAAAGAATTAACAGAACGTATATCGTCGCGAATTAATTATCTATTCGATTGGAATTAAGTTTAGCTAAACGATACTTCATCGCTCATTCACAGTTGCGCAACATCTCATTTCAAATTGAAATATTTTATCGTCTTGTGTGATTGGCAATTCGTTACAGTTTTCACAGTAACGACAGAACACTTTGTGTCGCATTAAAAATATAATATTTCACTTTCAAACAAGGTAAACTCGACCTTGGCAATACTAGTTTTGGTTTGTTAATTATAACTCTAATTCTCAAATAAAAATCACCCTATTTCATAATTTAGGCTCAACAATTATCAAAAATTAAAAAAAAAACCATAATTAACGCGTTACATATGTTTGTTCTACAAATATTCTCACATATGGGTGAAATGTATGATACAAGAATAAAACAAAATAAAAATATTCTAATTTTCTTGGAAAAGAAACTTTCTTTTAGGATTACTAATAGGACTATATACAGTATTTATAGACAAAAGCCTGCTATGAATTACAAACCATAGAATTTTTTGACTTTCACACGGAGCCTTGTTAAGTTTGTTTGAATTTGAAAGAATTATTTTTCTAGAAACCAAAAGCCAGTAGTTACCAAAGTCGGTTACAACTTTACATTACATGTCTATGCGTGTGTAATTTAATTTACACCTCTTGGATATGCTGTGTATTTTCACTTAAATCTACACGTACTTCCAGAAATATCCTTCGACATTTCCACTCCCTGCTAAGTGTTTCTTTATTATTATTTTTGTATATCCCGCCACTTTGTCAATTGTTATTATTGTTCCAGAATTTACATTCCGGAAATCAAGAGCAGCGCGATCCTCATTCTTTTTCTTCAATATGGACTACTCTCTGATAACATTATCAAACTAACGCTAATATTCCACAATTTTTAAATTAATCGAATGTCAATCCTACTATTAAAAGATGTTCAACACACTTATAAACAAATTCGAATTTTCTTATCCTCAAACAACAGTAACACAATAACGGGTGTACCAGGACTCTCGAATATACTCTTTCCATAATTAATCCTTAATCATTATTGACTACTCGCTTCCCTGATTACTTAATTGCTTTCAATCATTTTCAAAATCTTAAAAGAAAAATTGCCACAAGATTACCAGAACACCCGCGCGTCCTTCCCTTAAGTTCCTTGACATTAGATTTCGACGAAAATGCAATTTTAATGATTTTAATGAATGTCAGGAAGAATGCAGAATTAAAAAAAATTATTATTCGTCGTTATCCGATCCCTCATTATTTTTTTCTATTAATATCTGACAGTAACGAATAATAATTTTGTCTATGAAATTCAACGTTAATCCACTATCTCATCACTTCTATGAAAGTAACCTCGTTTACAGATCATGACCCAACCGGTCCATTTCAGCCAACAGGAAGTCAACATCAGCTTCCGTAACAGCAGCACTGGAGATGATACTTCTGAAGAAATTTGGCCGCCGATCATCAGGCTGATAACCCACCATTAAGGTTCCAGCTTGCATCATACGTCCCTTGAGTATTGGGCAAATCTGTCCAAGATAAGGTATTGATATATATATATATATATATATATATATATATATATATATTTGATAAAATTTCAAAATCTATATTTTCCTATTATATTTTTTTTACCTCTCCCAGGATCTTTTCCCTCTCAGGAGTGTGTGGCATATTGCGAACACGAGTAGGAAGATACCAGAAGCAAACGTTCACCAATTCCGGTTCCAAGATGAGATAATACTTATCAGACATCTGCTTGATCCTCCTAACCATGTATTCCGTTAACTCCATAAGACGATCCATATGCTTTTCAAAACCGTCAGTACCCTACGAAAAGAAATTAAATTTTGGAAAATCGAATTCGCTGCCATCGAATCGATATTTCTATGGGTGGAAATAAATAAAAAATTACCTTAGCGCGCCATTGAAGCCATAATTTGAAAATGTCATTATGACGTCCGCATTGAATGACCTTATCACCAGTATCGTATTTTACGTCATACAATTTATCCGTCATGAAAAGATACTCGGCAGACATTTGATTGCAGCTGATAAGTAGTCCCTGAAAAAGCGCGAATAAAAAAATACGGCAATTCCGGCACCAATTTTGTCTTCAGCGCCAAATTGCAGCAGTGACGTCACAGGAAGATTCGTACCGATATATATATATATATATATATATATATATATATATATATATATATTTATGTTGTACAATTCAAATTCCAACATCCGGTACAGTAACATGCAAAAGCATTACGGTCGATAAACGTCTCACATGCGCACAAACTTTCGCGAGTAACATTGAACTTCCAAAATGGCGTCGGACACCTGGTATCGAGCTCCGGCCATTTTGTTAATTACAAGAACTTATCCTGTATAATTCGCCACCCCTAGCTATAACCGTTCAGAAACTACCCTTAAAAAGTACCCACTCTAACGCGACCCTAACCGCAGTATTTTTGAAGGTCTACGATGAAGGGTAGTTTAAAAAAAAAGAAAACTTTAAGAAAATTTCTAAGATTTTCTAAAACGTCAAAACTTTCGATTGCGCTGACAGCACGGAATAAGAAAAAAGTGGGGATGCGCAAAATTTCCCCTAAATATTTTCGTGCAGCAGCCGGTGCACGGAATTTTAATATCCAGAGGGCGAGTCCCTGAGTTGGCAATAACTGTAGGCTGTCAAAAAGGGAGGGGTGCGCCCCTCCCCCCACTCTGACGTCACTGGTCGGCAACATATGTTATCTCTTAGTTTAATTAAATTCCTACAGTCCTGGGGATCCAGCATTTGTACCCCCCCGGAGCAACCCCTTTGGAATGCAGCTACTGCTACGTCACTTCTCTGCAGGAATGAAATTCTCTGCTAGACCGTCATTTTTTTTCTTTTTTCTTGGTTAATCGTCCCTCCACTATCCTTGGAATCTACCTCGGTATTTCTCAACCTCACCCTGTCAGTCAAGCAAGCATACCCTGTTCTCCAGGGAGGGTTGATACTTGTCGACAAGGTGGTAACCATTCGTGTGTTATGATTTTGAAAATAAATTTTTTTTTAGTACTCACGTCCTCCTTGAAGTGGATGCTGGAACACTGGAGCAGAGCACCCATCAGCTTGTGCGGATTCCAAGTAACGGACTCGGCCCTGAAATCACAAGAAGATGGCACCGTATTGTGGCATCCGTTTGTATCGATGGACAGGAGTGATATATAAACCATCGAGTGAGGAACTGTTAGAGACAGTTTATAGAAGGGACTAAATAGATTTTTTGGTGAACGCAGGTTCGCCCGGGCTAAAGAGCCCTTGGAGAGTTTCAGCCGGTCGTCAAACTCTTATCCCACCCCTGGGGAACCGATGACGGATAAAATACGAGGTATACCGACCCTGTTCTTCCTAGGGGGCTCCATCAATTCGAGAGAAGCTATTAATAAAGCTATGGGGTAGCTTTAACCCAGGGCGTAAAGACACACCTCTTCCGTTAAATCCAGCGACCCCTTTAATCCTTTCGGTCTTCCGCAACAAACCTTACAAATTTGCGAGTCCTTCGGCCTAGATTTTCTATATCTAGTTTAATTAACGATTAACCGAAAATCCCTTATTTTAATTACATACTAAATATTACACCCGTTAAATATCTCATCCAACAGGACTTCAAGTCTGATTATACGAAACGCCGTCATCCCCTAAACGCGTTACGTTCAACCAGGCATCATCGCACAAATCACAAAGCAGCAGGACAGGACATCTCGCACGTGTTATGACGAATGTTATCGCTGCCTGGCAACTGACACATATTCAACCCCTATTGCAACCTACACCGCAAGGGTGCTTCAGAATCTCGAGTGCATCCACGGATACAGGAAAAGTGATATCCATCGCTTGCAGAGGTCGATTAACGTCCTTTTTGACTGGAGTGTGTAAAAACCGTGTTGAAGGTTATGTAATTTTTAAAAAATTCAATTTCAAATTATCCACTCTAAATTATACCCTCTTAAATTTCTTCGGTACCTAGGCTCAGGCACTTGCCAGCAGGGGTAGTTCTACGGTACAGTCAAATTAGCCACGGACAGCCTGGCTTTTATTTTGGCCAAGAGTAACGACTGCAAGAGAATATAAAAGCGCTTGTGATTAATGCGATTCGCAGCTGGGGTTGGCGCGTGGCCCCAAAGTCTTAACGTTCGTTCCTGTACAGTAGGTGCCAACCCCAAAAGCTCGGCAATATATATTGCAAGGGATGCTAATTACCCCGAGCCCTCGAAAATGTTGGACGACTACTGTTGGGAGCAGTGTCGAGGCTTTGACTAGAGTGGTAAAGCAAGATGGACAGCTTGCAGTACAAAAGTAAGCAGAGTAGCTATTAATTGTACCTTGTGGTATTTTTCTTTGATATATATCTTTTTTAATTTTTTCTCTTTTATTTTACTCATACAGGCTGAGAAAGATGCTCGGGGCAGTACTGAAGAGAGGAAATCGTCGGTAGGATATTCGCAGCGCGTTTTACACGGAATCGCGAATTTTTCCTCCGGGTCCCTGGACACAAAAACTGTGGATCCTTTTGTATGTACGAGTTTAATCCGGCATTGTCGGGGCACGAGCTTTATTTCAAACTTGCCAGGCATAAAGAGATGCTGGTGCGTCAATAAGAGGAGAGTTCTGTACTGTAAATGCGCTTCAGGGAACGGATCCAGCTGTTGCTTCTGTGTTGGACTTCTGGCTTTCACTCTCCGCTCTTCGCTCTCTACGTTTGCCATTTTAATCAAGACTCCTCAGGAAGGAAGTCCTGTCTGTGGTACAGTCGTTTTAGAGAATTTTACAGATACTTTATAGAATAGCTAAAAAAAAAGATTTTTCATAGTGGACATAGATTTTTGAAAAATTTACCATTTTTTCACTGCGACAGAATTTTTGTAATATTGACAGCTTTGTGTCGAGTGCCTTTTTTTTTTTTATGGAATTGACTCATTTTTTTTGGCATTCTTGTAACTTCTGGAATTCCATTTAAAAGAGTTTTGTCTGATTGTTAGCCCAAGAGGTCCCTAGGGTGGCTTCTACCGCTTTTAGGGTCAGGGACTGTCTACACCCGAGACTCACTGGGGAAGCAGATGCGTCTGGATGCAAATCGGGGATTAATCTCGCCAACCCCTCTGCCAATGCTCATCCCTCTAGTTCCACGAATGGTCCATGAGCCCTTGGTTAGAACTAGGGGCCCTCCGATGGATGTGAAAGTTGGCATGTGCCGAAGACAGGAGTCACTCGGTGCACCCTCTCCTTCATATTGCGGATTACAAGGATCTCCTTTTGGAAATAAGGATCCTCGAAATCGTCAGTTGCGAATTTTTATATCAATAATACTTGCCAGTAGGTACACGTCCTTGTATCAAACAAAAGATTGGTAATAATTTTTCAAGTACAACTTGATTGATCTTGACGTTCAAAAAAATGTCTACAAACACTTTTCAAAAATCCCTATGCACAGGCAGATAATACTAAATTCCCCGAAAAAAAGCTCAACATTTATATTCTTATTCAAATCTTTATGGTATCTACTTATTTATGCGTCTTTGTCGCGATAAAGAAAAAGTAGCTTTTCAAAAAAAAGGCCCTATTGCAAGTGGCTTTCTTGCACGGTATAAAAATACACCTTAATCGCGGTTTATGCCGCCAATCTATTACAGGGGTGAATACAACCCCCAATATTCAATCGGTCGCCCAGCCATTCTCATGTAAAGTAATTTTCACGGGCATACTGTCTCGCGATCCTCCATCTATCGTCCTCTTGAAAGGGATGTATTGATTTTGGCACGTGGTGGCAAGCCCCCTCCAAACCCCCAATAATTCCGGCCCTGTCCCGGGCATAGTGTGTTTTTCGAAGGACTCCATCAAAGTAAGCCCCAATAAACTATAAAACTTGGGGATTAAAGCTGCATCCCTCTCTTGAGAAAGAATCTCACACTCTAAATCTCTGTTTCTCTTTATTTTTTTTTCTTTCTCTAGATGTATTATCAGACAGGAGGGTGGGTCCATGCGTAAGAACCTCAGGCGAGAAAGCAGTGAGAAAATTCGCTCATCGCGTGGAGCCGCGAATAAATTAAATTAGCATAACTAAACGCGAGTGTTTATTCGTGGATTTTCTCCGGATTTTCAACCGGTTCGCCTATGCGTTATTACACGATTATAAAATTTCGTCGATGATTCTGATAATATAAATCAAATATAAAACAGTTCAACGAGAGGAATGCGACGCTTTATAAGCGTTCGATAAAATTAAAAAAAATAAAAATTCAATTACCGCTCGATTCCCGTCAATCTAGGATGTCTGTATCTTCGCGATAAAAGCAGTCCACCACCCCACGCCGCCTGGAACAAAAAAAAATGTATTTTTAGTGAAAAAGTAAGAAAATCACAATATCAATACCCTTCTGAGCCCTGACTATACACTGACTTCTAAATCTCTGGTTTTCCGAATTTCCCAGTTAATTTGGTGAAAAGCTCACAAGGCGAGATCTGCTGTTTCCCACATATATTACTTAAGCTAAGACTCTTAAGCATTAGCCATTTTACAACGCAGACTACAGTTTAACATCCGGCTAAATCTGCCCGAAAATCTCTTGAATAATTCAAGTCTACGAAAACGCAGAAATAAAGGAGAAAATAGAAAAATAAAAAAAACTATAAACTATTAAAAGTCCAGAATACAAACTCACGTCGATATGAAGCCACAATTTATATTTCTGACAGATATCAGCGATTTCCGGAATTGGATCGAACGCACCAATCACAGTAGTCCCAGCAGTAGCATTGACAAAGAACGGAATATGACCCCTGGCCTTACGTTCCAGAATAAGTTCCTCAAGTTTCGCCGGAATCATACGTCCGCGATCATCGCTGGGTACCATGACGCAATTATCCGTGCCTAATCCGCACACAGAGGCACATGACTTCACAGAATAATGACACTAGAATAATAAAAAAAAGATCCATCGTGACAAACAATCAATATCAAAATCCCCATTAGCAATAAATATAAAAATAATTAGAAATTACCTGATCGGACGTAAACATAACCAACTGCCCACCGACAGCAGCCAAACCACGTTCCTTATACATGGGAAACATTTTATGCCTAGCTGCGAGGAAGGCGTACAGATTGCTGATTGAGCCTCCCGGTGCAAGAATGGAGTCACCGCCGGACCACCCAATGAGTTCACGCATCTTCTGAAGAACAATGTGCTCCATAAGGATGAACACCGGTGCGATCTCATAGGTGAACATATTCGTATTGGCCGTGGCAGTCAGCCATTCGCCAGCCATGGAGACCAGGTCGAGGCCGCAGGACAGTTGGTTAAAGAAATGAGGATGACCTATGACCCAGAGAAAAGTAAAAAGTAATTAACTTCAAATTCATTTATTATGTCCGAGCCAGCTCTGATTCCTCCTAAAAGCATCTGTAATTAATAATCCCAATGTGACATAATGGGATCCGGCACGCGTACGCAAATTCTCTATGGATGTAACAGACATGACTCTGAAAAGTTACGCTTCTCCAGGTCTCGAGTGCGGAGCTTTAACCTCGCTGAGTACGTTGTCATCCGCTCGAGTGAACATCGCGCACGGATCAAGCCTAATGCTTCTGTTTGATGGAGGCTGCATGATGGGGGAGCAGCTTACGCCTTCCTGTTTCATCTACCGGGTGTTCAACTAGTATTAGAATACTAGTCAGAGCGTAATACTATATATATATATATATATATAAACCCTGGATATAGAAATATAAAGAGGCTTATACGAAACTGTGATGGATGTCTATTAGATATCTAGGGTGAAAGGTCATCCCTTTCTGCCCATAGATAAGCGTAAGAATAAGAGTGATAGTTTGAGAATGAAATATAAATTATTGTAAACGTTTTACTGTATTATAAAAAAAATATTATATATAAATTTGTATTATTAGTTATACAGCAATTTGTCAGACAGTAGTAAATAGTAATCCTTAGTCAGCCAGGCATCAGCTGGCTAGAGGGTAAATGGGTGCAGCCTACCCCCAGTGACGGACGGCGCGTTTTAATCTCCTGGTATTACGTCCTGATTGACACATGACGTAGTGGGAGATCCCTTGGCAGGCAGGTTAAGGATTTGGGAACTTTACCAGAGTAGGAACTAAAAGGCACTAGACGTCCCTGTACGGGAATGAAGCTGTAACGAAAATACTCAGCAACCATACTTAATGGTCCTTAATCCCTTATCCTGGCAGTTTCTATGTATCGTCTGGATTTTTCCCGTTACATTGTCCTCCTGATAGCAGCAGAAGGACTTAGCCAAGAGAATTTTCTCCTGTAGATGCTCTCGGTATTTGAGCCGTTTGTTGCAGTGTTATTCGCAATTATCTCGGTCGACGAATCGTGGCACGCGTCCGGTGGGGTAGATGGACGTTTTTGGTACAGCGAGAGGACTTTGATAGGGGTTACTTCTTTTTCTTTTTTTTTTCTCTTTCTGTTTCTACATCGAGGGGTCGATGGTCCGGAGCACCCGCATTTTGCGCGTCACACGCGTCGCTGCACCACTAGATTGTTTGCAGAGGCTCTCAAACGGGATGACTCTTTCGCGAAGAGTAAACAGCATCCGTGGTCCAGCCGAGAAGATGAATTATAATTTTCGTCATATAACTTAAATTAAGCGTTTAAAAGGGGTTAGTCTCGTTTTTTTTTGCGTTTTGACTGTTTTCGGGTATGCTTTGGGCAATGTGAAAAAAAATTTTTTTTTTAGAACAATCAATTGATTTACGGATTGAATAGTTTTAAGGGGGGTGTACTGTACCAATTTGATGATGCTGGATCATTTTTCCGACTAATTTCATCGCGGGATGACTATAGAGAAAGAAATAGAGGAGAACGTTGCTGGACCTGTTGGGGGCAGGCCTTCCCCAAACCCTGGTGATAAATTAGGGGTTTAGGATTTGTATGAAGAGAAGTGTGTAACCCCGGCTTAACGTTAATACTGCGCAATCAATCATACCATTCCGAAAACAGTGCCAGTGATCGTTTTATATAGTAGAAGACAGCGAAGCTGTGGCTAAGGGTAGTATTTTTTTTTAATATACACTTTTCAGCATATCTATATAAAATAAGCATATCCGGTATGCAGATAAATTTTTATAAATCCTCGCGTAGTACGAATATGCATATGCGTATTTATGTAAATAAAATTAATTGACGCTTGACTAATTGCCAGTATCAATTGAAATTCCAGCAAGTTCTGATACTAGCCAACTGTACACTAGGTACTAGGGGAATCTGGGGTGCTTTTGCTAGGGATTGTAACGCCCCATAACCCTCGCCCCTATTTACTGTTTCGCACGACCCCATCCCGCTGGGGAAAATCGTGTAGAAATGGCTCTTAATTACACCGATCCTATTGAATTTCCCACCCCAGTTGCGCGGCACGTGCGCAAACCCCGCAAAGTGTCGCGATACCCCGGCCAATCGTAAGCGGCATTGATTATTTTTCAAAAATTCGAAAAAAATTTTTTTAATCGAACGGCTCAAACGATTGCACGAAAAAAATGTATCTCTATGAATAAAAAAAAATCTAATAAGGAACGCAAATTGAAGTTACTTACTTCATCCCTTAAAAATATTACTTTTACAAGTTATTATTAAATTCTTCACCTTTTTTCTTTTTTTCATCATTATTACATCGTGCCACGTGTTCCACCCCCTATCTATCATCTCTTTTTATATCCGGACTGCAATCTATGGTCATCTTAACGACATCACTCCTTCCCCAGCATCCGGTAAAATATCTTCACAGCAGTCGTCGAGCCGTGAGATACGTTCGAGTAATATCCAAAGATCAATATTCGACAGGCATTCTAGGAGAACAGCCGTGGACTCTACGTAGGGTGAAGGACAGAGGAATTCAGGATATAAGGGATGTTCTTGTAGAATGAGAGAGAGGAATGGCGGGGGGGGGGATGAGATAACAGTAGGGCGAATTTTGGGGGTACGTAATCTAATAATAAGTTTTGGTTGCTACCACCACGTATCGTGCACACGTTCCTCAATGGCGAAGGGTGGCGAATCCCCTTTCGAAATTACTTATGTTAGGGTAGGTTTGGTTACTTTTCACCAAAGTCTTGTTATGCTAGGTGTACGCTGCCATTGTGTATTAGCATCCATTCACAGCTGGTAATTTGATTCGCGATAGCGAACTTTTGTGGCACTTCAAATGGCTTGAAGGCTAAGGGTTGGTTTTTCTAATCTCAAAACACAAATCCACTATATACAATGGATTATTGTTATATATACTGTATGTATGTATATATATATATATATATATATATATATATATATATATATACAGTGAGAAATAATATGGAATAATGGATTTTGGATAAGATTCGCACACCCCCAGTATCTATCTGGTTCCCAGGAGTATAAGCTTCCGGTACCCACCACCGCAAGATCCTCCCTTATTGATAGGAGCCAGCTAGTTCTTCCTTTTTTAACTTTCATCCCCCTTCGTCATTTATCACGTTTATAACACCCGTGTATATTTTCCGAGGCAGAGGGTTGCCGAGTATCTTCAACCACCTTATCTCCACCCTGTAGGTACGTATGCTAAATTGAATATGAAATCATGAAGCTTATCTCATTCCTAGGGGATGCTTCCACGGGCAATGCTGTGCGCGAAATATAATCAGTGCGGAGATTGATTAATTTCCGAGTAAGTCGAAAAAAATTTTTTAATTTTTCAAAATATTCACTCACCCGTCTTCACTTGGTACTTAAGGGTGGTTGAGCAATCCAGAAGTAGTTGCTGAAGAGTAACCCCCGAGTCGGGTATCTCCAGGTCCAGGAGTCTGCTCATGTCAGCCGGATGATGAAATTCCAAAACTTTGGCATTGCGATCGTTGGTCGCTTTTACGAAATCCAAAAGGATGTCGACGACCTTCATCAGGAACTCCTTCGTGGCCGGGTACCCTTCCGCATTTTGTGGCAGGATATCTGAAAGGAGACAAAATCACGTCCGATAAGGAAAATCGAACGTAGGTAAAAATTTTTTGGAAATTTTTTTTTATCCTACCTTATTCAAAAATTATTTTTAATACGTGCAAAAAGAAATGTATACCTCACATAATCGCAACCCTTTAATTGTCAATCAAGTGAAATCTCTTCAGCGACAGCACGCAGCCAATTATTCGTCTCAATGATTTTACTCCCATCTCATAAATCACATTGTCAATCCCAATGATGAATCCTACCGTGCGTTTCATTCGGCATCGAATCGAGGCGCGATTAGAATGATTTCACCTCATCAAACAATTGAAAGTATAGACCTATATTGACACACTCTCACTTGTTTGGTGGGATGACACCATCTTTCATCCATGATGAAGACCAAGTCCTGTGCCTGGCTGTAGTCCCCATTAATTTCCTCTATAGTAATTATATAATTATATTAATCATTCCATAGATGCATGCACGATTAATATATATATATATATAAGTCTAAATAAATACGTTTGATATACCTACTGTAAGGGTAGTTTAATCGAGTGAAATACTCGCAGGACATTTCAATGTGCTTCCGGTAAATCCCAGCGAGATTGAACTGTCTCTTTTGGAGAGTAGGACCATAAAATATACTAAGAATAACCCCTGTGCTGAACCCCCCTTCCAACAACCCCCAGTAGCCCTTAGCCATTATCGTAATCCTAGATATAAACAAAGCATGGGGTTTCGCGGGTGCAACTGTATTTTCGCATTGGATGGAATAGAGATTTAATTTATGAAAAAGCTTCGGCAGTCGAGTCTTTGGTAACCGTCCGATGGAAATTGACAAGGGTAGTAACGAATATTATTTTCCTTCGAGCACTATTTGATTATTAGAAAAATATAATTTTTTGGAAAAACATTTTTTTCCAAAATCTCAACAAGGCTTGATATATTATGGGGGTTAAGGGCGACCACGGGTTACGGTCGTCGGTACCAGATGCGGTTGGAACCGTTTAATTAAACCGTCTTGATAGGGGTTGTTTCTTGGAAATTAATTCCACCGATTTACATTCGTATAAGCAGACTGGATTAGGTCTGTTATTCATGGGAATTAGCTCGGTACAACATTTTTTAAGTATTTTTTCATTTTTCACTACAGCCTAAGGGATGACGGTTAACCACCCTTAATTTTATACCGTGGACATGTGTACGCACAGGAAATGAGTTTTACCTAATCTGAATATGTGAGCCAGGAATCGGCCGACGGCACGCACCAACCCTTATCGGCCGACGGCACTTCCCGATGTGCAAATAAAACTGAAAACAACCCTTCCTCTCCCTGCGCTCTGTCCCCTGCGGCATGTAATCTGTCCTCAACCACTCACCCCCATACGGAACTCTTTGGCCTGATCCTAAATCCTCCATTATTATGCACCCTTCGGTGCCGCGAAACTACCCCCGCGCGAAATCACGACAATATTGTGGTTTATAGATTTTGATGGGACGTCAAGAAGTCGAAATTAGGGGTGGCCGTACGTGGCTTTCGGAATTGAAAAATATTCACGGTACAAAATCAATCTACGACACGTACTAAGATACGTACCTCTTTTTTTTTTATTCATACAATTTTCTTCACCTCCATTCAAATTTTTCATGCTGCTATACCTACTAGTTAATAATAAATTTTTTTTTATATAAAACGATACTTACCCGTGTACTTTAGATTGCTATGCTCTTTGGAGAGCGAATAGGTATTTTCGGAACTCATGAGTCTCGTGGGGGAGTGGGTCCTTGCGAAATTCTGCAAATATAAAAAAAAAGATCTAATTAATAATTGAATCTAAATATATATGTGTATATAGAAATAGGGTTTAAAGGTTATAAAAACAATTAATAACTATCGTTGATTCATCATGGTTTAAGCGGCGAAATGGTTAAGCGAGCTTAATCTTGATCTACTGGTCCATGATTAATTTTGAATAAAAAATTGTTCTCCGATTATGCGATGATATGCGTATGCCTTACATATAAGTATTCCTTGATCGCTGTGATTTTAGTGCCGATCATTTGCACATTGTCCATGTCTCTCAGCAGTAGCCCTCGCCTCAGTCCCTACAACAATGAACAACAATAGTTTGTCTTGGTTCACAGTCGTTCGTCTTATCATTAGAAATGGGATCAAAGCAGCAAAGTTAGTAGAAGTATCAAGAAAATGGCGAAGGCAGGTTGAGCGACCAAAGAAACATGGACAGCGTTTGCGTGATAATTCTTATTTTTTATTTTCTGTAAGTCAAAAGACAATATGAAAAAGACTTTGGTTAATTTAAAAGAAATTTATTAGAATTTATCATCGTGACGATGGACCTTAGCGAGTCGATACCTAAGACGCGTGAAAATGAGATTTTTAGGATTAATGCAAAAAAAAATTTCGAATTTTGAAATTGACTAAGATTATTAAAAATAAAATTTTTTATTATTCACTGAAACCGTTATGGATGAACGAAGTGTATCGGTTGAAATTTATGTAATAAAAAATATTACTGCAAGGTAACTTGAATTTTTGAAATTTCTATTGGTAGCCCTTAAAATCAAAAATGTGGATTGTACGAAATAAAAATTTAAAAAATTGCACGGAAAATTGTTTATTGCAAAAGTAAAGACTTGTCGAAGCGATATTCAAATTGGTTTAACCGTACGCCAAGGTAACGGCGGATCGTCAGCCGCAAGTTATCTGGCTTCTAGGAATCCTCTCTCGTGGTTAAGAAAGTCGATTTTAATTAATATTCACAGCTCTAAATTGCCCTAATGCGATCTGCGGTCTGGATGGCTTACCTGTTTCTTTTTCTTGCTGCTTCCTGCTTGGGTTCAGACGAAAAGTGGCAAGGGTTGGTCGTCAGGGCGAGCGACGGGCTTCGGGGTGGTTTCGATGGGACTGCGGCTAACGCCTGGACGTCTACTCGGTCTTGGAGTTCGGCAGAGCAGACCTTCTGTCTGACCCAGTTTTCGCCTTTACGAGGGTGCGCTACGTGGGCGTGGTTTAAGCAGGGTTCCAATACCACGTGGGAGGGTTGTAGGCGTGGCCAGTATAAACCAATCAGCCATCTACATCCCTTAAACTAGGGGTACCAAGGGATGCTGCTTCTACGGAGTCTACCAACATCGACTAAAAGATCATCGAATAAGGAAAATTCCTAAGGTCTGGTGTACGGGTATTTTTAGTTTTCCTCAAAACTAGAAATTACTCGTTTCCTATTTTTAACAAAAAATTTCCCTTAATATACTCTATCGATATAGTGTAATTTTGGATTTTCAAAAAATTTCAATTATTATTATTATATTTATAGATAATACAAAACGAGGAAAAATAGTTTTTCTTAAATAACTTTTTTGAAATTTTACTTATTTATTTTTCACCATATATCGGGAAACTGTACAAGATAATATGCAATATCTTGTAATACAATGTACCTTCATTTTTATTTACCTATAAAGTACCTAGTTTTTTTTATTAACACGTATTTAGGTTAGCACGAAAAATATTAAACATTTTTTTGTATCGTTACAACATATTTTCCTCGATATAATAAATAAGTCCCGTCTGCAAGTATATGACGATCGTACATAGAGTATAGTATCTTTAGGAAAACTGTCTTGTATAGTATAGCAAGAAGAAAAAGGCCACTGGCGTTCCGAATGTCTGACGAAACGTGTAATAAGCAGTCGTGTGCAGAACGAATGGTGGAAATTCAATTGCGAGCGTGATTTCCGTGGTAAATGTCGCGACGCCTGCGCCAGGTCGGTTTGTTGCCCAAGGCCATAAGGGATGAACGCGAAGGGGTGGCAGGAGACAGGGAGGACAAAATGGACGGTAGCCAATCGGATAGCGAGGCAAAATGGCCGTTGGAGGATTTAATCAATACCTCCTGTCCTCCAACCCTTCCCAGTGAGAGAAGAGGTTCTTCCCTCTTAGAAAAAGACCAGGAGCGTACCTATTTCCCGGTAGGAATTTCTTCGTCCTTTTATCACGACCTCATTCTTCTTATTCGCCATTCTACCCCAGTACCGCTAACTTGCGTTACCCTGGACGAATAAGAATTATCCGAATTTTTCATCCCTTACGTATCCATCAATTTGAAAAAAGTTTCGTTAAAAATTTTTTTTTTTGGCACTTAAAAAAATCTACCCCTATTCGGAATTAAATTGCGTATTTGAATTATTTCAACAGGGTGACAATTGTCAGGGAACCATAAAGCTTCGTTCACAATGGCTAATTCAAGCTGGTTAAATAATGGTAATTGCGTACGCTCCTGGATGAGTGGCAGGTATACGAATCTAAAGAAAAAGGGGGATGCTGCGCGAAAAGCGAAGAAAGTTCTGGGGTAGAAAATCCTCTTGTTGGCGTCGGTGGTTGCGAGAAGGTCGAAGGTGGTCCGAATCTCCTCTAGTGATTTAATGCGAGCCCACAAGGTGGGATCGATCCTCTCTAAACCACCTCAAGGAATTTTCAACCCTGTCGGAGGCTGAAAGTCGTGGAGGGTGGTAATCCACCTTCTCTTTACTTCAACGCTGACGTACTTGAAAGTAAAGTTTAAATTGAAGGCCCTTTCTGCCCGTGGCAGGAAAAATCTTTTAAGATTCTCGGGAGGACGGATGACGGAAGAGTGAGGGGGTGAGATTTTTCTCAATTGTCCAAACTTTTCAAAAAACAAAAATTCTTCAGGCCAAAGAAGTCAGATTCATTTTTGATTTAAATTTTTCGACAAAATTTTCTTCGGTTCAGTTTCATCCCTCGATATCACCCCTAGCATCCGGATTCATCTGAAAGTAAAAAAAAAAAATGTTAAAAAAATATCCTCGTATTGATAAAAGGACTATGTGATTATTGTTCCTTTTGATATTACTTGCCAATTTTTTTTTTTCCAAAAATACCGTACCCTTAGCCTACAAGGGTTCTTTGTTCTGCCCATTCTTATTGTTCCGTGTCCATTAGACATGTCGTGCTGGAAATTTTGAGTATGGACTTTCTATTGAAATAAAAAGTTGACAACACATTATGCACAGCTGTACGTCACAAAAACCTTAATCGACTTGGCGAGAATATTTGACAGGAGTGAAAATTTGACAAGGCCCTTAACTTGCCACTAGTTCTTTTTGTTGGCAGTTTATGCACAACTCGGAGGGTGAAGGCTGAGATTAGGTTGGCTTGACTGATCGTGGCTAAGTAGAAACTGTCGAGTGGCAAGTTGGCGAATTTTAATGAGTATGTATAATCAGAGTAAACTTATACTGGCACAATTTCTCGTACGTACATTGCGATAAGAAAACGACTGCCCAGCAGAGATAATAAAAGATCATGAGTAGAAATCCTGTAGGATTTAACAAATCCAAAGATAATACCAATAACTGTATACGATACGTGTTACATCGTATGTACAATCTGAACAATTCGTCATAGCATTTTGCTGATATGAACAAATACCACAATATTCGATGACAAAATATTTACGTGACAATAGAAAATAGAAAATATATTGCATGTAAAATAATACTAGTAGGATTTATGTCATAAAATATATCCTGTATACATATATATATAATATGGCAAAAATTGTATATTCAAGATATACATAAAATAAATTTGAAAATATATTTTCTACTATATTCCACCTATGTGACGTTTCCGTGAAGGTCCCTTATCTCCAATACGTATTGGACGTTACTGTTGACATTTTGGAAACTCTCCAACTGATCCAAGAAGATACTACCAACCATCCATTAATACAGTACAGTTATAACATAATCAGTTCTCGTTAGTGTCAGAAGTTATGACGTACATACCTTACTTGAATACAGTATACCAGTAACCATAAAGTGCACATCAATTAGACGTAAAACAACACAGCCACAACGTTAATTAATTTACCAAAAGTACAAAATACTTAACCTAATTTCCCAGCGATAAATTCACCGTGGACGCCATTAAGTATACCGAATAGTAATTTAATGAAAAAATAAAAGGACATCCTCATATATTACGTCTAGAATATTTCACCATTTCGAAATCCCGGTCGAGGTTGTATCGAAGTCGATGGAATTTTATTCCACACTATGTATGCATATATCGTATATACTACAATCCTTAGTAGAAACATAGTGTAGCAGTCAGACAGTAGTAAGTAGAAACATACCATATACACCACTTACGATCTCTAATACGATAAAGTGAGGGCAATCAGTGTCGGTCAGATAAAATTCATACAATATTCAATTCGTTTGATCAGTTGAAATAAAAAATATAGTAATAAAAATTTCTATTTTTTTTATATCAATATTATCCATCAACTTTTGATTCAGTCGACGTCACTGTATTATATACATGGATTAGCTTGAGGTACCATGCATACGGTTTATCTTGTTCCTGGCATTTATTTTGTCTTGAGTAATGTTTAGAGTTGTATAGTTGAGTAGTTGAATAGTTGAACAGTTGAATAGTTGGATGCTGGAAGAGGAACGTCGGAATTTCACAGATCCAGGCGAGGTCGACTACCATACTAGGCACTTCTCCTGGGTATTGATTTGCCATCAGTTTCAGATGACGCCCGGACTTGGTGGGTGTTACTCCGGAGGTTGCTAGGGTTGGTCTTTCGGGGATGGATTCTGTGAGAACATCCTACACCCCTTGTCAACGTATCCGGGATGTGATGGGGAGTCTGCGCATTGCTGTGCTCTACTCTGAGAGAAATATCATGACGTAAAAGACGACTGGAGATTCAGTCTGCCGGGTCCCTCGGTTAGGAGTAGACAGACTCCTTGTTGCATGGACCAGATATTATTTGTGATTACTTCCATAGGCATTCTGGGCCTGAATTCTTGACTGGGTCGAACGTAGAGGAGACTTGTGGAGATATGACGTTTACTTGGATATTCTGAAAATAGTTACAAGGAGATTGAGAAGGGGAAACACTTCAAAATGAAGGATGACTGTGGGGAGGATGGAGAAGATGCGGAAGATCATGCAGATTCTAATGGTGAGTATGATGAGTGTTGATGAAAATTTTTGAAAAATTTGAGGTTGTTGGAAAAACGTTTTTTAATTTTAAATTTCAGAATTTTTGAGTGATAAAGGAAATAGGTATTTTGATACTTTATCTTTGAGCCAAAGAGAATAATTTTTATTTATGGGCAGTTTTTTACTTTTGCTTATTCAAGATTATCAAGGATTTCACAAATTTGTCAAAGAAAATTTTCAAAATAGAATATTTTTACCACGGATACTGTGTTCAGGTGGCTGCATCTGTATAACCGGGAACACAGGAAGTGGTGTCCCCTGTTGGTATCAAGATCGATTCATAATTCCTATACCGATGGAGGATGTATCGTGGAAAGTACGGCGGCTTATCAGCCAATCTGGAAATCGAAACGGTTGGAATGATTATTGGGTGAAGATTGGATCCTGAGGAGGATCACAAGGAAGAATAAATTCACATATCCTGTAGGGTTAAGAGATCCTCTCGAATTAGATGAGTTAGCTGTAAAAGAAAGATGAAGAAACATTTTATTCGTTTATTTCGATTATTATTGTTTTATCAACAACAAAAAAATACGTACTTTTAATATTCCTAAATGACGTACCACTTTATAAAAAATGCACTTATTTCTCAAGCACTATTAAAAAATGCACAAGATTTATGATATACATTTTTTAATTTAATTAAAAAATTATTTTAATTAATTAAATTATTTTTTTCTTTCTCGCACAGATTTGTCATTAATGCGTGTATTTAGTGTAGTTAAAAAAAAAAAATGGAAATTCTATAATACCTGAATTATATCAGTGTCGAAGGTTTCACTTTAATGGGCGCTGAAGTTTGAGAAAACTTAAGTGTCTAGGACAGTCTAATTAACGATTTACTCCTAATTAGCGTAATTCGGTAAAAAAAAAAAGGGGGCGAGGCGTTACGTAAATTTATACCGAATACAGATGTATCCGCTTTAGTCGTAAGGAGTTAACACAAAGCCGAGTTCACACGACGTATATATGACAAGTACTATCGTGGTGGATTTCGAGATTTTGGAATTGCATAATTAGTGAAAATATATATTTTTTTTTCAACGTGTGAACGCGGCAGGGGTGTGCAATGTGTGTATTATGCAATAAACAATATACGCGATGCAAAAATGCTACTATCAGCCAATTTCGCGATCGTGTCAATAAGCTTTAACCATATAATCGAAATAAAATAAATAAGTACCTTTTACAGGGAATAAATTATAAGGAAAAACAACAACCAAGTCTTCCATTAATAATAAAATTGGCTGCACTGGATTAACTAAAAGAATCCGGGAAGAGCCAACGCGAAAGAGCGATATTTTGGTAAAATATATAATTTCATTAAAACTCTATTTCAAAATACAGGTTAAGCAACGAGAGGAACGTACAAATATAGAAATTAATTTAGCTGTTTTATAGATAAGAGGATAAAAAATATTTATTTATCCATTGTAAAAACACTCGTTTCAATAATTCACCAAACTATCGTACTTTCGCTTATAAATAATTATTAGTATAGAAATAATATAAAAATTTATACGTGATTAATATCTCATGCAGAATTATCGGTATCCCTTCGAATCTAACGATCCGTGGTTTACTTATTTTTCAAAATTTTCTAATCGATTCTCCTCGTTCTTCCTACGCTAATTAATAAGTATCGCAGTAGTTAAGTTGATTATGGCATGCCGTTTAAAAAGTTGTGACGCGACAATAAAACGTAGCTATTAGTACGCCTGTGCGATATAATTGTCTATTTCGTGCTTCGAGCATCGGCGACGAGATTAATTTTTGAGAATTTCATTAATAAAGTTTTTCTCAAAAATCGAAAAGTCGGTAGTGAGAATGCATATAATATACGACTATAGTCGATCACAATTGGGGCTATAAACGCATTCTGCAGTGTATAGTAATACAATATATCTATGTATAATAATAATATAAATATTTTCCTTAATGTTTATACAATTATGGTAATTTAAATTTGTAAGTCTACTGTATTATTATATATAATCGTAATTTTATTTGTACGATTAATAACTGATTACCGTTAAAGAAAATGTATACGTATAATGTAAATTATGTAAATAAAAAATGATCGATGCCACATTTTATATTTCATCATTAAAATTTTCTAAAAGTTTCTCACTGCATTTTCGAGTGGTCAAGAAACTCGGTTGAGTTTATAAAAATTACTTGCACCAAGTCAACTTTGATCGTTGTACGAAAATCGAATATGTACCAAGCTTATGTACCGAATACGTACCTTATATATGACGCAGTAAAATGTTGCCAATCGAGAACGTTGTAAATTATATATATATGAATCCTTTTACGAATTTTTAATATTGGCATATCACTATTTCTGACACTATAATGACCATTTTCTTTTTCCTTAAATAATTTTTACCTAATGGATAGCTATGCCCAATACCACGTGATATCTTCCGGATACGGGTATCGGGAACGTATCCGGAGATGAAAAAACTGGCCATGAGACTTTGATTGTAATTACGTAATGCCACGTGGCATGATTTGTTCAAGTTTCTGTTCCAGCTTTCCATAGACACCTTAAATACTCAACACGTTGACCGTCACATAAGCCATATATGGTTGACAGTTATTTCTGCAGGTATGGGTTACGACGAACCGCGAACTTGGGCCTCATGGGAAACAGTTAATTTACGCTGGGATGTCAAAGTGTTAACCTGGCATTTATTCGGCGGTCACGGGAGTCTAAACGTGATAAACGATTGTGGGCTGCAGATAGCTGAGCTTCTAGGAGATGTAACTTTCGGTTAAGTGTTTGATAAGGTTAGCAAACAATACCTTTTACGAAAACATGCATTAGAAGGATATGGCCTGTTTGTGCCAATAAAAATGTAATTTGTTACCTGGAATATAACGCTCAGCACATGTCGACGGAACTCTAGAAATTCCTTAAGAAGAAATGCTGTGAAAATACCTTGCAAAGAAGCTTGCATCTAATGGATATCGACCCCTGTATGATTACAATTTCTTACACTTGAAGACAAGCTTTTAGTTCAGCAAAGACTGAGAACAGTATGTTCAGGATAACGTAGTAGTACCTGCTTCAACTCACAGGTGGCAGCATTCTCGATGATGCGTCGGTATGTCAGACTCGCATGATACTGAATACGCCTAGTCTGTTTATCTTGAATCAACGATTCCAGATAAACTGCAAATACCATATGAAGCTACATAATAAACATAATCCAAAGTTTACCCTATTCGGCAGACGATATATACTACAGTTACCGATCGAGCAAATATTTGTTGGGGTTACAGAGTAGAAAAAACTGGTATAACAATTTTCGAAAAGATTTAACTCTCAGGAAGATCAAAGTCCCTCTCTCTCAAGAAAAAAAAAAGAAAAGAGATATTGTACCTGCAAGAAGTTTTTAATGTAAATATCAATATATCACAAAAACTTTTCTAAAAGATACAATTCCAATTTTAACGACTATCATCCATCCACCCTTGTTTGCTCACAATTAATTTTAGTCACGAGACAATACTTATTTCCCAAGTGGTAAAGTATAATCAGGATAGTCACAATTACATTATGTTCCTTGATAGCTCCACGTAATACGCTATTGGATTTTCTGGATCTCACGAGAGTCCCTGAGGTTATCTAGGGATGGTATAAAAGGATGGACATTTTTGTAGGTAGTGTCAGTCATCTGCCATCCATCTTCTGGACACGTCTATACCGCAGCAGCACAGGTAACAAAATTTTGAAAATCTCCTACCCTTAAAACTTGTCATCCCTCTTTTATCACTAGAAAATATTTCACTTCGAAACACCATAGAGATCACATGAAACATGTAAAATCAATAATCAATTTTCCGAAGTCATCAAGAACACGTATGCAAATAATGCTTCACAATTACTTGTAATAGAGGCACTAAAATCCAGATAGACTCCCGCTAGTATAAAAGCTCGAAACTTTACTCAGAGAAGCATCACTCAGTTGACAACAGTCAAAGAAGTACATTGATTCTTTAAGAAAGTACAACGAGCCAGGTAAACGTAGAAAATAAATTTCAAAAAACACTCCAAACTTTATAATAAAAATATTAAGAGTTTTACAATAAAAATATTCTTTTCATTTAAGTCAAGCTTCAAAATGGTTTCCATCCGCGTTATTCTCACCATCTTCGCCGTTCTTGCAACCGTCGCCGTCCTCAGTGTGAACGCGGCTTACAGAAAACCACCCTTCAACGGCAGCATCTTCGGCAAGCGATCCAGCACCGTTACAGGTAATTAATTTGTTTACTTGTTACCGACACACGCAACCAAATTATCGACTGATAATTTTTCCTGTTTTACCTACTGACGGTACAGATTACGAAGTTACCGGAAGAGCCTTGACCGCGATGTGCGAAGTCGCCAGCGAAACTTGCAGCGCCTGGTTTGCTCACCAAGAAACCAACTGAACTGATAATATTTCGATCAAACAACACAGTCGGATACGAAATTAATTGATATCGATTAATATACCATAACTGAGCCCTGCATTTAATCATACATTTACCGAATGTTTCACCGCTTTCACAATACCTTATCATATTAAATATTTAGATAAATAAACGTTATAAATAACGTTGGATACGAATGATGATTTATTTTAATGAGATAAAATTAATATAAATTCAATTACAATGATCGCCTTTGTTTCCACTCATTATCATTACACTGTATTCGTTCATGTTGTAATAAATAAAGGATTTTGATTGATTAAATATGTTTTTATTATTCGTTATATCACTACTTATCCTTCCTAATGAATATTTACCTTCTTTATCATTTTACAATGTACCATTTCGTGTTTTTATTTTTTTTTTTTACTATAGCAGTTCGCAATGTTTTATAATCTGATGTTTTAGATCGAACGATTTGATATGGTAAGCACGTTTTTTTCACCTGCCGGGATAAGGGCTACAATACTACTATATACGTCATGTGTAGGCGAAACTGTGTACAATGACAAAATGGAAAAGAATTGTCTTGTCTGATTTTTATTTTGCATATATTTCACTTCAAAATCCTTAAAAAAATATTGACAAATATTTAACAATTGTATGATTGAAAATTAATTATAATTTAATATAAATTAGTAATTACTTCTTAATTAAATAAATCAGTACATCATTGCCTGCTACGATCGACTATAATTTCCCGTATAACAGTAACAAACTGTTTCTTTTTTTTTTACCAACACAAGCAAGTATCCAAGACCCGTGCCAATTTACAAGTTGGACACGACCAAAATAATTAATCCGAAATTAATCCAGTATAAATATGGGAGTTCAAAGCCAGTGAGAGTCAGTCTTGTGATTCTATCATCAGGTAAGTAAGAAAATTATTCCGATCGGTAATCTGATGATAATAAATTATACAATTTTGTAATATATTTAAAAAATCATATTTACCTTATTCTTACGTTAAAAAAATTTTGCACAATTTATCAAGTAGGAAATAAAAATATAAGATCGAGGCGTGTTGTATGTATATTGAAGAAATACGATATCAAGATATATTTAAATATCAAGAGTATCGAGAAAACACTTATTTGCGATACTCCGAGTTGTCACGTTCTACTGTGCTCAGAAAAATCTTTTCTCGCGATTAAAGTTCAGTTTTCACAGAACTCTCGAACGACGCGTATCCGTCTATTCTTTATATTTGTATTACGCGAATTGAACCTTCGAGGTGTTGTAATAATATTTTATTTTTAATTCCAATTTTCTAAACCTCACAGGCCTACGATTTTTATTCCAATGACGACGCAATTGAAATCACGTGGTTGTGCCAGTGTTTCTCTCATTGGCGGTGAGTAATTAGTATCTATGGTTTATATATATCTGATAAACTCTATATATGTGTATATATATATACTATATATGTGTACGCCTTGAAGGTGGTACATTTATGATAAATAAATCTGTACATAAAAATGATATATTTTGTAAAAATATTATTGTATATAATTAAGTAATATTTGAATTAAAAAAAAAAAAATTTTATTATTATTTTTCAGCGACTATTCTAATCTTAGCCATGATGGTACTCAGTGTAGAAAGTAACACAGTGAAGACGGAGGAGGTGCCGGAATTTTTTATGAATGCTTATAAGTCAATTCCAAAATTTGAGAAACGCAGTGGAAATTTTGAAGATTTCTTTTTGAAAGCATCCAAAAGCGTGCCGAGGATTGGTAGACGCGGAGGATTCGCACCGGTAATAAAATAATTTTTTTTCTCAAAATTTTTGTTTTATTTATCATAACCATTTTATTCGTAGACGTCAATTAAATCAAGTGGTTCGTGGCCGTGGTACAGAAATTCGGATTCATTTCAAGAAGCTGCGAAAAGACCCGTGGAATTTCCACCAGTCGCAGGTCAGTTTTTAGTGATAAGATTAAATAATACAATTTTCAATTTATTTTATATTTTGTTTTTATACAGGAGACGATCCGTGGTCCTGGGAGAATTATTCGAACGCCTTAGAAAATTCACCCGAATTTTTGAAAACTCTTATGAGCCTTTATGCGGCAGATTCCTCAAAGTACGGAACAGCATACGACAAGTATAATTAAAAAAAATTTTATACCAATCGATCAAAGCTAATTACAAACCAAATTAAAAAAAATTTTTTCATAGCGCACAGCAAATTGTGCAAAGGGTAAAGCGTACGGAAGCTAGCGAATCGAAATGAAAAATTGAAAAAAAAATGAACCCCAACAGGACGATTCAAAATGGCCAAACAAATTTAATATAATGATAGTCAACGCGCACTCCTTTTTAACTGTATAAGAATCATCGGTGACGGGGCAATATTTCAAATAAATTTTGAAGCATCGAATTATTTTTTTTTTAATTTATCCAATATTCGTCACTATGGTGCAAGCGTACCTGTACGCGTTTACGTAAAAAAATGTGGTTTGAGTGGAAAACAAAAAAATTCTCAAAAAACCAACTTATCGATTTCACCACATGTAGCAGCTGCTTGACACAACAGAACCGTAAAGTCACCAGTGAAAAGGTGCTTCCGCAAATCAGCAGAAAAATCGCAAAAATATATATCATCATGCACGAGAAAGATTGCACAAATAAGCCTACCATTAACATCCACAGTATCCACCCCTTTTCTGACACCTATAGGACAATCCAGTATCTCCCAGCCTGAAATCCACTTCTTCGCTAATAATTAGCAGCACGCGTACCAATCGCCATTACAGAAAAGAAAAAGAAATTAAAACGGCTGCAGCACGCAACAATTTAAAGAATACCATCACCGGTATTATTGACACCCTCAAAAATCATCCCCAAGCAGATGTTCCCGTTAAAATAAAATCTGTCTAAAAAAAATGTATCAAATTATTCCTCCACATACGAATACCAGATAAGATGACTACAAAACTCATAATCGCAGTTAAAAAAAATTTTTTTTTTTTTGAAAATTATTTCAACCTCTCTGAAAATTTACTATCCGACGTCAATCGATAATGACATCGTTCTGACTATAACCAACAGCCAAGTGCAGTTATAATAAAAAAATTCCATCCTAAGGGTAGTATACGAAATTTTTTTTATACAAGGGATGAATTGGCAATAGCCATAAATTATTTGCTATTCTTACGTAATCTTACGTGACCGGTAATATTCCTCCACTTTACTCCATCCCGGTTATGATTTCCACTGGGCGACGGCATTGCGGGTAATTCGGTGATATTATACGAAATATCAAATACACTAGACATCTATAATGAGAAGGTATTGATACTCGATACCAAATGTCACCGGAATGCCGTGCGATGCATTTTCTGCACGCGTTGCATCGGTAAGCTTGCATGTTTCAAGAAGTTCCGCATGCGAGCGCAGTTGCAATTCCGAGCAGGGGCGTAGGGGTACATTTTTCCCCCCAACACTAGATCGTTCATGACGATGAGATCCAACCCTTGGAGTGACCCCTTTTCCTTGGACCGATGTAAAATTTATTATTGGTAATTACAGCTGGGTTAGAAAATGTCACCACTGAAGAGGGGGGATGAATTTTTTTCTTTTGATTACTTTAAACGACTGTAATGACGTAATGGCTACGAGGCCATTCGTGTAATTTTATCAGACAGGGGTCGACAGGCGAGGGGTTGAAAATCTTCGGTGGAGTCGTATGCAACGAAACGGAGATGCGAAAAAAAATGTGATAGGATGAATAAAATAAAATGTGAAATAATCTAAAATGTGATAGATAGATAATGACGACGTGCCACTTCGTTCTTATTAATTAATTATTATCATTTATAATTGCATGGGGTGATGACACTTTATTATCTACCCGGATGCATATTTAATTTGAAATAGTGATAATGTCTCGTGATGACTTACTTTATCGAAAATTTATCGTCGGTGTCTTGCCGATTGAAAAGATAAACATGCATTCTGTATGATGGTAATTGAATGGAAAAAAAGAAAGAAGTTAATAAAATGTTTATACGATACCTTGAATATAAATTACAGTGTATTAAATGATTAATAGAATTATTCGAATGATTCGTTCTCGTTATATATTACAGGTAATAATATATTATTGTATTTCAGGGTAAAAACGGTACTGCGCTATAAATACTCTAGGGTGGTGAGTTAACGATAGAGAATTATACGTAATAAATACTTTATGACCGACGATGAGAGGTCCAACGAGTTTCGGCGATGCGCGACAGATGTCGCGGTGGGTAAAGAAACATTTAAATGGTTACCGATATATCCGTAAGATAGCGCCAGGGATGGCACGCCTAATGATTTTACTCCGTCCATTCACTGCTGGCTTGAAACAATAAATTGTTGTAATTACGATAATTCTGGTGTTTAAAAGCAATGCTTTGTGTTTACGTCGTCGCCTCGATGCCGACCGGTAATTTTAATTCATTATGCGGTAACAGAGAGCCTGCGATTCACTCTCCTGCCACAATGACCTAAATACCATCATCGAATTGTAGATCGCTCCTCGTTCTTTTAAAACGACATAATCCAAACGATCCCTTCCCGAACGAGAAACATCAATTCGTACCAATCGTCCCCTAACCGACTAACACCATAACCCCAAAAAGACACAAGCAATTTCATATGAAAAAAGATGACGAATTTCATCCCTTAGAAAAAAAATTTCGAATACTTAAAAAAATTCCAAAAATTAATAAATTTTTTTTCTGTTCCGATTTATCGACCCCTGATAAAAAAAATTCTTAAATATGTAACATGTAACTCCAATCCCGTCACAAAGTCATTGTAGACGATCACCGTGACTGCTCGTGGTCGTTTTGCAAAAGTACCCAATTTAACGAACAACACGCGTAGCTAAACGCAAAGCACGGTTGTTCATTTAATAAGTCTGATTTACCGTTTACACGGGGGATGGAGCGAGGGTCTGTCAAGTTGGAGTAAGAGAGAGAGAGAGAGAGGGGTTGGATGAGTTTCCAAGAGCGAGGGGATGGAGATGAATAAAGAGGGGATACAGTGCGGCAGGAGCAATGGGATCGCGCGCAACAACCGTACATAATCACGTAATGTGGTTATCATGCCAATTGCGTAAATATTTGAACCAATTTGCGGCATGCAACGCGAATCGCTTCTCCTCGAGTCGTGCGCGCACGATTGGCGACCCAACTATTACGAATCAACTTGTTGGCATTTGCTCGGCTCTAATCTTAAATATTGTCCAACCTATTGTCAACAGATAGAAACGTGTACATAATAAAATCACGGTATACAGCTGGATATACATGATATTGAAACATGACAGGTTGGGTATAAAAAAAAATTTTTACAAAAATTTCAAATTCATCCAAAAATCAAATATGAGATTTCAAGGGATGATTTTGAAAGAAAATTTTTTTTTTTAGAAACAACCCTTATATTTTATGAATGAATCCGGCACAGGGATTCCTATTTATTGGACCTTGGCATATAAGGCCCGAAACCTGCTCTTGGCGCCTCTTTTCCGGCCCTCTTCTTCACGACGGCTCATTATTGGCAAGTGTGAGCCAGTTCCCGGTATTGTATTAGCGACTGGTCGTACCGGTATGGTTCCTCAGTTCGTCTATACGTCTGGCTGTCTTTCAGTCTGTCTGTTGTCTGACTGACTTTTTGACTGACTGTCTTTCTGTCTGTCCATACCGCCTTCTCATTCTGCCAGGTAGAACCAGAGGCCTGAACGGGCGTAGGATCAATTAGGGCAGTGTTTTTCGAAATTGCTGTACCTGTGCGTATGTATGAGGAGTGGGGGTATAAGTAGGGGGGGGAGTAAGTATATGAAAGAAATGAATAAAAAAATTTTTGTACAGGTATCGATGAATTTTATAACCCAATCATCAAGACTTATTGATTCCGATATATAACTCAATTAATATATTTCATAAGTAATACGTATAATTATCAATGATGATTTTCATAGATCATCTAAGCAGACTTTGAAATTTTTATTTTCATCCGAATCTAAAAGTGATGCTGCAGCTTGATCTTATAATTGAAGATTAATAAATAATTCGTAAAGGCACATCGATCAAGTCAGTCGTTTACGTCTGCGATGAATAAGAAAAAAAATTTTCTATTAAGATTTCTCAATCGAAAAAACATAAATGATAACTGTCAAGAATTTCAATTACGGCTAAGAAGTCAAAGTACGCGCAATGACGATGATGACTCCGTGCAGATAAATAAATCAAGTCAATTATTTACATCGATCAATCTTCCCATATTAATTCAATAGCCACTTGCGCGGTGCATAAATAATAGTGATTTTAATAATGATATATTGACTGATAAAATTAAATGATTAAATAATGATTTTTCAAAATACTCAATGATCCATCCAATTTTCCTTTCCCTTTTCCGGATTCGTGAAATCCTACTCGGACTGATTGGAGGTTAGGTACGAAGGTTCACGGCTACGTCAGAAGTCGGAGTACGCATAATGACGATGATGATGACGATAGGAGGAGTAATAATAATGACGATAATAATTCGACCGTAAGGAACGGGTTGTTCGTCTGACCTGTACTCGTTAGACCACTTGCAAAGCGAGTCTATTTCTTAGCACTTTATTTTTTATTCAAGAAAACAGGCTTCCACGAACTATACAACGAGCATTCAGGATCGAAAGAAGGGAAAAAAAGGAATTCCTGTAGAAATCACCAATCCTCAAGAAAGTAAAAATTAAATTATATACAGTTCAGGTTACCATATGCATTTTTAAAGCGGCAGCATCAACCCTCTGGGAAAACGCATCGTTTCGACCCAGTGAACGACACCCCTCTATCCCCTAATAATCATTCCTAACCGCGCAGAAGTGCGCCACATCCTGTCAATGTGCATTCGTGACTGTGCATACTGGCTGTGCGTGTCGCGGGTGCAACTCCGGTAGCCGCCGCAAGAGTGCGGTGCGATAGCTATCCTTCTAGAATAAATCCTAAGACATTGAGTATGCAAAGAAAAATTTTGTTGAGAAAAATTTTTTTCCCAAAAAAATACCTTACCCAAGTAAATAAAATTGAATATTAATAACACTGTCATAGAAAAAGTCAACATTTTTTTTTCACCCACCTCAAATTTCCGAGCAAAATTATAAAATCCGGAATATATCAGAACGCGTGGGAAAGTACGATTCCAGTCAAAAGAGAGAGTCACAGTCTGTAAAGTATCCACGATCGCAAGAGTAGTCAGAGCGTAGCCTGGGTCTGCCCGGTAGTCCCGGATGACGTTGAGCATAGTAGGTCTACGTCAAGGAGTGCTACTCTGGATGAGACCAGAGTAGTAAACAAGTATAGGATATATAGAATAAGATGGGTATAAGAGAGAGAGAGAGAG